ATTATTACCGAAAACGTTTTTTTTTTTTTTATAAAATATGGAAGGAATTGTCACAAAACTATGTAATTTTTATAATAAGGAGGGTTGATAATAATAATATTTTTTTTTACAGGAGAAACTTGAAAAGTCTTCTACAATGTTAGACAACGTCCTCAAAACGTCTAGTGAGCTTATGAAGGGTAATTTAACAGAACGAGTGGCTTTAATGACAAACATACTTAATTCCACAAATTCCAAAAACATTTCCATTTCGGTGAAAAAAGAGATGGAAGAAGCATCAAAGATGGACGACTGCACATTGACCATCGTTACGAAAAAAGAACCGAAAACGTCCCATCCGGAATCGTCTCGTTCACCGCCACAGCAACAACAACCCCAACCGTCCGCATACACAAACCACCACCATAACAATTCTCAGAAACGAATCGTCTTCAACCTGACCGGCGAGATGTCCAACAATAATAGTAATAGTTCCTTTGAATCCCCGGCAGAAGTCCCGTCACCTCCATCAACGTCCTTGTCCGGGATTCCACCCCTTTTGCCGTTCAACGACCCATTACGTGGGGTTGCATTCAACAGGGAACTGGAAGTGAAAAAGTGTCCACCGATTGTTGTAGTCGATGGCGACGATGATGAGGCTAGAAATCCGTTGAATTATTCGAATAAGGAGAAAGAAGGACTAACAACAAGGACGCGTTACTTCGGAAGAAGTCGATGTCCTCCACCCATCCTTCGTCCTTTTCGTCCATATACGACGAGTTCGTCACCTCCCAGTCCCTCGCTTGACAATGAACCGGCCGATTTATCGAGTAAGAAACCCGAAAGGCTCACGTGTGTACCCGAAATCGACTTTATGAAGGAGGACATGGAAGATGACGCTTCGGAGGACAGCAATAGTTCCGATCCGGAACGGCTAGAAGTTGACATGTCGCAGGTACTTAACAAAAATGTTTAGTTCTTTTAGGAAGGCCCCTCTTTACTCCTGTTTCGTCTTATAACTTATCTATAACTAGGTCAGAAGAAACCATTCAATCTATTTTTCCTCGTTGTCAGGCTACTTCATGCAATACCTCCTGATTTGGAATTACTTTTGTTTTTGTACATGTAGACACAGTTGTTGATTTTGTCCATCTTTAAGGATTTGGAAGAGCAATCCAATTCTACGACAGCTAGCGCCACGTCTCCAGTAAATGATAATGTAAATGAAGAGGGAGAACTGTGGAAGGCCCTGTCCCAAAACGGCCATTCTCAGGGTGCCCCGCCATTAACAGGCGAGGCCAGTCAACTTTTACGAAAGTTGATAACATGCAGGAAGTTGGGAATGAGCATTACACCAACACCCATCATTACCCTACCCACAACCGGTGATACGGACAATAATAGAACCAATGTTAATGCATTTACTGTAAGTAAAACGTTTTCTATGGTAATTTTATTATAACTATGTACCTTACAGTGGTATTTGCAACTTGTAAAAACTTTGTTGAATTCAACACAGACATAAATCATTTTATTATTTTTTTTTTTTAATTATGTTGTAGCACTTTAATTTTAAAGATTAATATTCAGATAAATTATCGCTTTATCGTTTATAGGGATTTATTTTTTGTTAATGATCATTTTTAAATATTTTCAGATGGACACTGGCATGTACAATAAAGTATCAGGTCGTCGAAAACAGTGTTTTCCAACGAAAGCGTCAGCTGTGGAGGAGTCGGGTGGCGATGAGAACAGCGGGGGCGGTCGCGAGGGTGAAGTGGACGATTACTTGCCTGAAATAAACATTAACAACTTCTCGAACCCTTGGTGTAACCTCCAGATCGTTAAGACGAAGGTACATTTGTTTTTCCTTTCATTCCTTTTTGCTAGTTGCACAAATAAATATTTTATTATCTTAATATATACAGGGTGGAGCAAATTTGGCGAGACGCGTGGATCTTTCTTGTACCAATTGTGGCACGCAGACGACGACGATATGGCGACGAAACGTCAAAGGGGAGATGGTGTGCAATGCCTGCGGTCTGTACTTCAAGTTGCACGGGGTCGATCGGCCCCACACAATGAGACGAGACACAATACACACGAGGCGTAGGCGACCTAAAGCGTCGGAAAATGAGAAGGAATCAAAACATAACCATAGAGGTTGGTTTTAATTTAACTTTACTGTAGGGAATTAAATTCTTTGTGCAATTGTTCGAAGATGTAACTTTACGAATTAGTCTGTATTTGAGATATAACGAAGAGTTATGATTAATCATTTCTGTATCGGCTAAACCAAATCAGTTTTTTTTCCTGTTTAATTTACACAATATAAATATGTATTTTGGATTCTCTAGGTTCAAAGAAGGGTCACTACGCGAACGACGCCGATAGTACAGAAGAAATGCTTAATGCGCTTCGTAGGCATGTGCCCATTGCTCCCAAAAAGTACAATCAACCCCAGCAGCAGCAACAGCAAACACAACAGCAGATGGTTGAATCGTCAGATACAGACGACATGTTGACTGCTCTACGTAGACAGATTCAGCCCCATCTCGTTATGGCGTTACAGGGTCACCATTCTGCCAGCGGGACAACCAGCTATTCATCATTACAAACGGTAAGTTTATTGATTTATTACGTTACAATGATCGGCAACGGTGATTTTTGATAAGGGACTTTGTTCCAATAATTAAAATAAAATAATGTATGGATGACACGACACCTAAATTATGAACGAATTGTTTTTTAGGCGGGCAATTTTTCATCTCCTTTCGCTCGTAAAGACGACCACCTCCACCCTCAACAGCAACAGCAGCAAACGCAGCACATGCTGAAGGTGATAAACGTACCAGAAACGGACGATTCGGATGACGACAGCATAACAGACTTGCCATTGAATTTGGTCGCGACCCAGATGGCCGAAACGACCGAATCGCATTAGCAAACCATCGAGACGACGATGACGACCACTACTACGAGGCCAATCAATAAAAACAAAGCGTTCGTCGTCTTCTTCATCGTCTTCACTTATCATTTCCTTTACACAATCACGTACACATACGTAAGAAGGACGACTGCCGTTCAGGAATTCCCCGGAAACAAAGAGAATAAAAGATAAAGGAATGACAATTCTCTTTGTACAGTTTGAAGAAAACGATACGAGGTATACGTAACAATGTTGGGTAACCAGAGTCCAAGCACGCAGTAAGTCTGTAATATTTTTCTTTTGTATCCATTAATGTCCTCCACACTTACGATTAATGTATTTTTTTAATCATTTTTACTTTTGCTATCGAAGCTTCTCTCGTGTTGAAATGCAAGTTAACAAGTATTTATTGTTATTTTCGAATAGAATAAGGAAAAGACATTGAGGAGGAATAAGAATAAAATTCCCAATCATATTGTGACCAGATAAGGCTTAAAATACACTGTCCAACAGTTACTTCAGTGATTAGTATGAAAACATACGTTTTAATTTTATGACATTAATCTCTCTGAAAACGCTAAAAAGTATTAAAATTAAAATTTGTTTTAAAATATGTTCCATACAACTTTCAGAATTAATACTAATTTAAGTGTAATCATTTTTTATCTTGTAGTTATAATAGTTTTGAAAAAACAGAAATCTAACTAGTCGAATGAGTATTTAGGGCTCTTTACTTAAACTCAGAAATAAAAATTTGTAAGTATCTGTAATAACGATTGTACATAAATTATCTGTTTTTTATGAGAGTATAATTTAAGTCCGCTTGTGTCACAATATTTAAAAGGTGAATTTTATTTCGTCCTTCTTCGTAATAATTGACTTTTCTAGCGGTGGTCATCGAAGGACGCTCTCTGTACTTACTATATATATACATATGTTGTATGTAAGGTTTGAACGTGTTGAAACGTTTTTTTCGTTTTAATGTTTCTCTCTACATCTTTCTCTCTCTTAAAATGATAATTATTATTATCGACTAACACGAAAAATACTCAATACTTAATGAAAAGGAAAGAAAAAATTCGAGTCGGCGATTTGTCTGTCTCTCGCGGGACTCCCCCGCCGGTGATATTTTGAGCTATACTTTTTCTCTTATTATGTATCTCTTTTTTATATTATTATTATCATATGTAGTAATTTACTATCATTATTATTACGTTTTTTATACAGAAGTAGCGAATAGTTGTAATAATTATCAATAACAATATCTCTACTACTAATAATCATAATTACAAGCGCGTATTTAAGAGAAAAGAATTTATACTGTAGTAGTGATCGTTACTTGATGATAATGATAATGCCAGTACCTTTTTTTATTATTTTATTTTTTAATTTACGCGGTATAATGATAAGTATTACATTGTGGGCCCCTATTATTTTTTCGGCAAAATACTCAGTATTTTAAGTGACTATTATGTAATAATTGTTAGTTATTACACTTGGGGTTTATTGTGTATGTAAAAATGAAAAGAAAAAGAATAATACCATAACATCTACCTACTACCTAGGGTGTGTGCTAAACAAGAAAGAAATGTATTTCTTTTCGCAAGGGTGCTCGGAAATCGACAGGGATGATATTAAAACATTTAATTTAAAGAGTACCGTTAATGGGTTTTGGGTCAAAGGATTTCGTGGTTTAGATTGTACAGTTAAAGATGATTATTTTGAAAAAATCTTTAATTTTACCTAAAACTGGTTTAATAAAATTAAATTAAAAATTATAAAATTCTCTGCAGTTTAATGTTTGGGGTGTGATATCTTTTGAATAGGTTAGATAGGTGTTGCGCATAGAATTTTCTTAAAATTAGTATTCAAATTATCATGTTAAACCGTCCGTGTTATTTGTGGTGATTCCCCTGTTGATTTCTGAGGAACCTTTTTCATTTTTTGGCACTTAATAAATCTACTATTATCTTTATACGTAACCCAAATCCATTACACAGGGTGTTGGTAAAAAGCAAGTCCACTCAGTTATTTTTTTCAGTTTCATTCATTTATTTTGCCTTCAGTATTTGTTGTTTTTTTGGCAATTTAGTACCTACTACATTAAATCATTATATTATTAAAATGAAAACAAAAGCATCTTTACTCTGTGATATTTATATCTTTTGCAAATAAAATTGCCTCACCCTGGCAGCTCTGTTCGGTTCTCCTATATAAATTGGTTGGAGTTAGTATTGGCAGGCCAATATATTCTCAATTATTTAACACTTTTTGAACTGTTGAATCGTTCTTGTTAAGTTTTCATGCTCTCTACTTATCGGGTTTTTTCTTATTAATTAATTTAATATTTTTTTGTCGCGTATTTCGTATGAAACAAAAGAGCAGTACGTATTATTTTTTTTGTAATTGTGTCGTAATTTTGTACGTTAATAATTTAAGTATTTTTCTCTTCTTTATATAAGTTAAAATAACGGCGTCCCCCCTTAATCATTTATTATCTCGGTCAAAGAGAGTTTGTGGAATATCTTTTTTGTATTATCATATTGATTAATATTAATATTATTTTTTCTTAAACGGGTTGTATGTAATTTTTCATTTTTCGTATTTATTTTGTTTAAGTCCTCATGTGTATTTTTTTTCTTGGCGCGACTTTAATCTCTCAGTCCTCGGTAATTTCGTTACAAAAAAGCAGGAATATCTGTTGCACTTAATCGACTCCTTGAAAAAATAATTTATTATTATAAGGCCCGCGCGTCGTTCGCAGATATAAAGCGCGTACTTAGGCCGACGATTTTAATAGATACATATTCCTTATTCTCATTAGAAACAAATTTCATTTTGTTCATGGCCGGTGCCAGCTAATTGATACAATGGAAAATAATGGAAAGTACAGTAATGTTACCTTCCCTGTAGAATCCACGCCGGCAACAAAATATTTCCTAATTACGCCCCTGTAGTGACGTTATCTGGGAACGACATTCGGTCTTTATAATATTACAATTGTAATTTTTTCGTGGAGTTGTGATAAATAAAAGATTTAGTCTGTCTTGTAAATAGGAAGAAATTGATTCATAAAAGTGAAAACCGTGGACACAACAACATAATTAATAAATAATAACTAATTAATAAATGATGGAAAACTAAAAACCAAAACGTAGCTAGATTTAATAAAGACGCAACCTCATAGTATTAACATGGAAAGTGATATTCTTATAACTTATTTGCGCCCCCCTTCTCCGGCCCCTTATTTTCCCTATTTTTATTAATTTCTTTTCGTAATTTATTTCGAATCAAAATCAGTATTGTTATATTGTCATTGTTTTGTACACTAATTTAATGTTTCGTCGTATAGACTTATTTTTTAAGGTAAAGTATTGGCAGCTGTGACTGCGACCGCTCTCCCCCTTGAATTATATTACTATTATTATTATTACTATTAATGTTTGTAGTTTTTAAAAACAAGTATTGTTACCGTTTCACAATATTGTCCACCACTTCTGCCCCCAAGTTTCTCTTTAATATGTTAAAGATAACTCACCATTTAGTTTGTAATTAATAAGTAAACGCCTAAGCATTCAATATTTAAATTAAATTAAAAAAGCAATTTGAGTCAATCCGTCGTTATTAAATTTATTTTCGCTGTTTCATTAACTATTACTACAAAGTAGTGATTTTTGAACTTGTATTACAGATTTTACAGAAGATAAAATTATGTTTATTTGTATTACATTCAAAAAAGAAAAGCTTAGTATTATTGATAGTATTTCAAATTATATTTACCTTTTTGTATCAAAAAAATATTAATGCAGTCACAAGCTCGAATAATTGATATGGTTTGATAATTCTGTGAGAAATCTGACTTACTAACAGCTGTACCTTTTTTATTTTTTGTAAATGTAGCAGTTTGAGACAGAAAGTAATAATTATTGTGTATATTTTTCACAGAATTATTTATACGTGCAGGTTGTTGAAAAAGCAATTTTTTTCTGTCGTTTTATAACTTCGTTTAAACCGTAAATTTAATGTTCAGATAGGAATCTTACAAGTAATACATAAATATATCTAATAATTATTCTTGATACATGTACACCGGAGATTCTATCAGATATTTGAGATTGAACGATAATAAAACAAGTTAATAAGGAATAAGATTTTAAGTAAGTTATTTAATAAAGTAACAAAATTGCTGTTAGTACTTAGAATATTTTTTTACAAATAAACATGGCTGCTAAATAACTTTATACTGCTTTTTGTTTTTTTTTGTATCAATTTAAGCCCTTAAAACCTACATTTCTTTATTAACAGCAAGGGTCACATTTATATAATTTTAAACTGCTTTTTATTGTTCTGTAATCATTTTAGTTTAAAATTAAGTTCAAGTATGACTAAATGAGATGCAAAGTTTGATCCCCTCCTCTAAAGTAACAAACAATTAAAAACATTGGAATTAAATGGTTTATCAGTTTCTTTCAGAATGTTTGAATCTGCAACCAACAATACATCAAGGTATTGAAGAGAAAACCTCAAGTAGTTACAATTTTGTATATTGATAATGTTTACAAATGAAATTAATGTGTCTGTAACACTTTAAATAACAAATGGATCCTTGACACAAACTTCTTTTTACTACTGATCAAAATTGCATTTTAATTTAGTGGTATCTGTAGTTCTTGTGTTTTCCTGAAAATGATTAACACATTTAGTTTAATGTAGCAAGGTTGAAAGTGCTGTACACTTACTAATCTTTCCATAATTTATCACGTAGAAGAATATCATTGATGCTGTAATGACCTGAAAGTATGGAGCTATGCCATTTCTTTTTGGCAAGAAATATTTGTGATTCCATCTCCAGTATGCTGGAAAAGTAACGTTTAGTTCAGATGGTAAAACTACTGTTTGTATACGTAGAAATTAAAGATAAATTACCACGACTAATGGCACCCGCAATTGCCTGTGGAGATTTATTCCTTCGAGCAAACCATGCAGAAAGTTCTCCAAGTTTTACTTGAGACAAGGGAGTATCGGCTGCGAAAATGTAATTATGTAACTAATTTATAGGTTATGAAATTTTCGTAAATTACCTTTTCCGTAGTAACGAGCAGGATCATAAGGACCATGAACTTTCGGATCGTATTCGACAGGATAATCCCCAAAACCCATTTTTTTATTAGAAACTGGGAAAAATTGATAACGACTAGGATGTTACTTTAACGTAATCAACGCCAACTTTTTGACACTTATAGATTGCTCATAGATAATTGTAGAACGTAGATCATAATATAGATGGCATGTACTTAGATGTTCTCTATGATCGTTTGTAAGAAGTTTTTTATCTATTGGTCTGTTGATGGAAAATTATCTATGGATGATCTATGGTCGAAACCATAAATAATAGATACACAACGGTATGAATTCTATTATCTATGGTCGAAACTATGGGTGGAAAAAATATGGAAAATGGAAGTAACTTGTGAGTGTAGGCCGCCATTACGCTGTTTATGTTTGTAATTTTTGATTTTATTCAAGTACTTTTTGCTTTTAATTGTTTTACTTAGTTTTCTTTGTATTTGAAGTTAATTTGTCAGTTAAACATGTTGAGTTCGTACATAATGTGAACAATGAAGAATATGTTTTTGTGTACTTACTTGAACGTGCCAAAATAAGAGGTAAATCTTATATTTCTTTTAAATAGTATGCTTTTTTTTAAAGAAGGAAGTTGGCGATAGATAATTTGAAATAGTAAGTTGTTTGTTTCATAGGAACTGGTTTTAAAATTATATATTTATTTTTTATAAGTTTATCTTATACTTATTGCAGTGGGGCTGTTATAGTAGAGCTCCAATTAATCAATTAATTATTATATATTAAATAAGCATAAAACCTACATCAAAAACCATTCTTAATTAAACATTTAATATTTCTCTCAACATGTATAGTGCAACCAGTAGAAACTGCAACTTATCAGTACTTTAGGGTGATAGGATATCAACCCTATTAATAACTAATACTTCTAAAAAATAGCAAAGAAGAGGTCAGCAGAATAGTAGGTTACTGTTATGGCCATTGTTAGTTAAAATTAAAAATACAACTAATGGATATTGGTCCTAAAAAAATATGTTTTTAATTTAATTACTCGGTTAAAGTACATTAAAAATGTAATCCTGCAGAGACAATGTCAGAAGTAAAATTAGTTCCTTTCAGCTGACAGTATTTTTTTTGTATCGTGTTTTTTGGTATTAACCGTTTTTATTAATTTTTGTTACTTGCGCAAATATTCCAAAATTTCTAGTTTTGATAAATAGGATATATGCATAAATAAATTGATTATGATCGATGAGGATGTGGCCTGTATTGAAATTCAGGAACCATTTCTTAGCTACGAATATAAAGGAGACAGAGACAAGGACGAGGGGAAAAGTGGACTCGGTACCCACATTTGGACTTTTACAAAAGTTAAGCAGAAATACGAGGGTAACTTTTTCCAAAACACCCTCCACGGTTTCGGCGACTTATTAATTGAAAAACAATTTCACTACACGGGATACTTTTTTGCAAATTGTTACGAGGGTTACGGAAGAATAAAATACTTTAACGGTAATATTTTTGAAGGATTATTTAAGGACAACAAAAAGTTCGGTCCAGGTGTCTTCACCTATCCTTTTGGCGCACAAGACGTCGGCTTTTGGGCAGGCGGATCTTTGATAAGACTTTGCTGTAACAACTCAGTTGACTTAATACCCGAAATAACTCGAAGCTATGACGGTAAAAAATATATTCAAAAATTTAAGAAAGCAATTACATTTCAATATCCCCCTTTTGACGAGGCAAAAGATATATTAAGAAAGTTAAACGTTGACGAAAGTGATGGTATAGCTGAAAGAAAAGATGAACTTTACAATCGTTTTTTAAGGCAGAAATGCAGCCTGGCGTTTGATAACAACAAATTTGAAAAAATGTATTTTGCAGCCCCAGCTTGCGAAGATAATCCCATGATCACAGAATCATCCTCTTTGAGTAATGAGTCTGCAGTATCGTGGGAAGGGGATTGCCCTTTGAAAAGTTTGTTTACCAAAGAAATATTGTTACAGGAGATTAAAGACCAAATTGAAATCGTTGATGTTTTGGTTTATTATCTTCAGTTACAGAAACAAAGTATCGAACAGGATTCCACAGAAAATTTATATGTGAGCCACGAAGAGGACGAATACGTCGATGACTATGGCAGTTACAATACAGAATATATTCTGAAAAACTTGGAAGAATTACACCCTTGGCTAAAAGATTCTATAGAAAACATTGAAATTGGTCTTCAAGGCAATGGACTTTCCACTTTTCAGAAGAAAAAATTTGAGTCATTTGAAGATTCCTTAGAAAATTTGGAAAGAATAAATCATCTTTTTCTACTCATGGAGCAACTCAAACTTTACCTCACTAACAAATACGAACAACTAGCAACCAAAAAGAACCGAGAACGAAAGCGAACAGGATCTTCGAATAAAGAAAACGAAGAGTTTTCAAATTCCGTTTTAGAAGTGCGTTCGTGGAACAATAACCAGTGGATAATCGATATGGTAGCTCATTGTCATCAGTATAAACAAAAAGAAGACACTTTATCATTTGATATATCAGACTTTCGTAACAGATTAAATTTCTCAGTTTGTGGGCCCCACGAAAGCGACTGTTTATGTTTCATGCTACAGTGCGCTTTCGGTCGCACTATCGATATTATAAATCTGTGCAAAAGAAGTGTAAACCCGAACGTATCAAATTGCAAAGGGAACTCAGGTGTTTTCTTTGCCGTGGCGTTCGACAATATTAAAGTGTTAAAAGCATTGACAGAGTTGGGGGCCGATTTGAATGTGTACAACGACGAATGCCTCACCCCATTAATTCTATCAATTTGCCGTTTATTAGCGTTGATGTACAATATCAATGACTGGGAAAAAGCATTTATGCCTTCTAGTGTCAGCACGTCTCCAAAACAACAGGAGAGTACAAACGATCTTAACTTATGGCATCTTCACTCACAATCTGAGGAAAGTGGCAACAGCAGGTTTATTTTACCGCCAAGCATTGAGAAGAAAATCTTCGATAATAAGCAAACTTTGGATCGTAAATCGGTGGGTCACCAGGAGTTTATTTTGAGCACAGAATGCCGTAAAGTGTCGCTGAAGAAAATAAAAAAGAATAAAAAAGACAAAAAGGGTTCGAAGAAAGGTAGGGACAAGAAAGAAAAAGATAGTAAAAAAGGGAAAATAGAAAAAGGCAGTAAAAAAGAAAAAAAGACGCCGATAATAATATCTGAGAAAAAAAAAATTGGAAGTTTAGAAGACACAGAAACACTTATTAGTATGGAACGTGTCAAACAGACATTATGGTTGTTAATAGAATTGGGGGCTGATCCCGATTTTGGTACCGTCCCTCTACCACCTTTAATACTTTCCATCTTCGTAAAATGCGAAATGTTGACAAAAGAATTAATTAACAGAGGGGATTCGAATATACGAACGTCCGTAGACAATCTTTCAGCCATCCATGTACTATGTTGCCTTCCTTTTCACCAGGATTATTTAAATATTTTCAAAGTACTTGTGCCAGTAACCAATTTAAATTTAAGAACTGGCACAGAACATTGGAAAAAAGAAAAGGAGGTAATACTGTCAACAGAACTCTACAAAACGGTTTTAGACGAAGGAAAAACTGCTCTTCACATCCTCTCCATGAGATACGACTTTGAGGGGTTCGAAAATATCCAGTGGGAAATGTTTGAGCTTTTACTAAATGAGGGAGCTGATCCAAACTTGTCCTATTTGGGTCATACTTCGTTAACTCTCGCCATGTTAAGAGGAAATATATTTATAGTTGAAGAAATGTTGAAACGTCGATTTGTAAATCCGAATCAACTACTAGGAGAGGGCATAGGAGTTCCCCTGACGATGCTCCTGTTAAAGCGTTACACAAATTATCTTCCAGCCAATCTTTGCATGCGGTTCGTTAATCTCCTCATGGATTACAACGCAAATCCGTTTGTTATATTTTCTATTCACGGGAACGCAGTCGAGTTCCTAGAGAAGGAATATGAATCGTCTGTTACCAAAACTAAAGAATCGAAAAGAGACAAATCCAAAAGCAGACAATCCAAAGGCAAGGATAAGAAAAAAAAAGGCGTTTACAAGGTTCTCATTAATAATTTTTTAATATGCTCGAGAAACTTTTTACTCAGACACATCCAGGCAAAAGTTGTAGAATATGTATATTTGTTTATATCAGAAGCATGTACTGAAGAGAAATATTTATTTCATTTAGCAAAATTCGTGAACATAGACGAAGCCGTACAATGTCTGCAGTTACTCATTCAAAACAGGATCATTGCACCACGCGAGAATACATTAAACATTTGTCGGGACGTTCTAAATTTCGTCAGGGTGTGCAACACGGACTCTCCAAGGAAAGACAACAAGTCCTCTTCTTCGTTAGCGAACCAACCACCTGTAGAGACAATGTTAACTAATTTCAATTTGCAAAAAAATGTTTACGTCGATAAAAAGTATAATTCCCACCCACCTGAGCTTGATAAAAACTTAGACAAGTATGTGGTGTGTTATCAGTGTTGTAAGTCTGTTGGAAAAGAACTGATCCCTTGTCCCAATTGTTGGATGGTGTACTTTTGTTCGGAGATATGTAATAAAAGTTCCCTGCAAGCAAGCGGTAAGCACAAATGTAAGTTACTCTTCTATGACACTGAAAAAATGCGACTTCAGAAAAGTGGAAACCAAAGATCGATTTATTACACTCCTTTGCAAGAAAAATTCGATTGGATCCAGGAACAAATTAGAAAGAGAAAATTTAAAAAAAAGTTAGAAGAGAGGTTCGCAAAAGAATGGGACTTAATAAATGGGTGTACGCCAAGAGTGTGTGATAAGTTGGAGTTTAAAAATGCAAAAATGAAATTTATTAAGGATAACCTTTGTTCCTTCTATAAAAACGATCCAGATGCACCCCCAGACTGTATTTATAATAATAAGAATAACTGATTAAGTCAACCCTTCTTGCCATTCATGACTCATAAAATCAATCAAGAATAACTAATTAATAAATGATGGAAAACTAAAAACCAAAACGTAGCTAGATTTAATAAAGACGCAACCTCATAGTATTAACATGGAAAGTGATATTCTTATAACTTATTTGCGCCCCCCTTCTCCGGCCCCTTATTTTCCCTATTTTTATTAATTTCTTTTCGTAATTTATTTCGAATCAAAATCAGTATTGTTATATTGTCATTGTTTTGTACACTAATTTAATGTTTCGTCGTATAGACTTATTTTTTAAGGTAAAGTATTGGCAGCTGTGACTGCGACCGCTCTCCCCCTTGAATTATATTACTATTATTATTATTACTATTAATGTTTGTAGTTTTTAAAAACAAGTATTGTTACCGTTTCACAATATTGTCCACCACTTCTGCCCCCAAGTTTCTCTTTAATATGTTAAAGATAACTCACCATTTAGTTTGTAATTAATAAGTAAACGCCTAAGCATTCAATATTTAAATTAAATTAANCTTTACAATCTATATACTGTTAAACATTATTCAACAATTACAATACATTATCTTTCTAATTATTTAATTTGTAGCTGGTAATAAGTGGGTCAGACACTAATGTAAATATTGGGACCATGGAAAGTGAATATGTTCAGACACATTGTGTCTTGGCTGATGGTGGAGATCAGTTTGGGGTTTGTTCCTTGGCATTTGATAAGCACGAAGAATTGTTATGGATGGGAAACCAAGGGGTAAATTGTTATAAACAAATGAAATTTCTTATTTTGGTTTTGTGTTTGATATATTTTTAAGGGTCATGTCACGTCTTACTACAGTGGCGGTCTCCAAAAGTATACATCATTTCAAGTCCACGGCTCAGAAGACATTAGGCAAATATTAAGTGTGGATGACGGAGTTTTAATTCTGTCTCCTGGAATGTTACGGTTTCAAATTAGACGGGGCTTACCAATATTTACTCACAGGTCAGTCTCGAGTAGTTATTAAATGAGTTAATTTCAATCAGATTATAAACATCAATTTGTTCTTCAGAGATTCACTCATACTTAAAGTTCGTTTCTCTTTCTAGATCATCTAATTTACAAGAAATGCAATGTATGTTGCAGCTATCACCGTCGCGGTTGCTAATGGGGGGCCATCAAGATAAATTGATCGATTTCAATATATCACATTGTAAAGAAACTACTTTGGTAAGTTTTAATTAAAAAATTAAACGATCAAATAATAATATATTAAAATGGCAGATTGATGTTCGCCAATCAGGTTGTGCTCTTTTAAGAAGCCACAGTAGATTTGTTTGTACAGGAGATCCTGTGGGGCTCATTGATCTACGAGACCCCACGACATTGAAAGTAGAACACACTTTGGAAACACATAGTGGCAGTTTAAGTGATTTCGATGTTCAGGGCAATTTATTGGTAACTTGTGGATTTAGTAACAGGTAATGACGAATTTGAGTATGACAGGCAAAAAACAATTAATATTTTTTTGTTTTTCTTCTAGGCAGGGTGGTTTGGCAGTCGATCGTTTTCTTATGGTATACGATTTACGAATGCTTAGAGCAGTGTCACCCATTCAAACCGTTCTGGACCCTTTGTATTTGAGATTTTTGCCCTCTATCTCCTCGAGATTGGCAGTGGTGTCTCCTTTGGGTCAAGTGCAGCTGGTGGACACTGTAGCCCTTTCAGAAACACGCCTCTGTCTGCTTCAAATGGAAAACCCAGGCAAGTTCTTATCTGCTATAGTAAATTGAAATTTACTGAGAACGTTTTAAATCAGGTGCGATGTGTCTTGCTTTTGATGTGAGTGCTACTAGTCAAGCCATGGCTTTGGGAGACAATACGGGTTCGATACATTTGTTCTCAGCGACCAGTGACCCCCTTTTTAACTCCTATTCACGTTTAACTGAACAGGCAGATCATGTTACCCCATTTCAGAGTTTGGCGGTAGACGATTATAGTGTTCCTCTTTCTGCGATTCCCTTGCCGCTTTTAAATCCAGAAATATCCTTTGCTTCAGATTGGCCTGAGCATTTAATACAAAAGACGTATCGGTAAGTGTTTTAAAATTGTAAATATGTAATAGAATTTGTGTAGTAAAATTGTTACAACACCTTATAATTTGATAGTAAAACGCCTCCGATTGATGCGGAAATTTTGAAAACGATGAAGGTAAAAGGTCCCATTGGATATGCTCCCAATCCCAAAGCGACCAGGCGTAATCAGGTGAGATTTTGAAAGCCAATAAAGTTCTTATCGTAAATAGTATTTTTATATTATTTTAGGTGATATATAATTTAGAAACAATAAACAGTAAAACCCATAAAAAATATTTACAAGACCGAAACTGTTCTAAGCATCCGTTTGACGAAAACACATTTATAGCAATCCCCAAAAGGTACAGAAGATTCGATATGAAATTTAGTAAACTGGGAACAGATGATTTTCAGTTTGAACAGTTCAACAGAACTGGCTTCTCTGGTTTGGAAGCCACTCTTCCTAACTCTTATTGTAACTGTATGATCCAGGTACATTTAAACCACCGTTAACACATATAAAAAATACTTTGTATCTTTTTGATTAGGTCCTGTATCATATTGAACCTTTACGTGTGCTTTTGCTGTCCCATCTGTGTACCAAGGAGTTTTGTCTTTCCTGCGAGTTGGGTTTTCTTTTTCACATGATGTCTACTTCGCAGGGGCAGCCCTGTCAACCAGGGAATTTCCTTAGGGCATTTAGAACAGTTCCTCAAGCCTCAGCCCTTGGATTAATTGTCAGTGATCTTAATCCAGAGGCTAAGGCCAAGGTTGACCTTGCAGGACTTATACAGGTCAGTTAAAAACGAGCAGGTATATTTTTGATTTCAAGTAAAAACATTAATATGTGTTTTTTGTTTACAGAGCTGGAATACTTTTATACTTCATCAGATGCATTCGGCCCTTTTGGAAACTAAAAAAAAGAGTGAGGGGAAAAGTATGGGGTGTTCGTCAGAGGCAGATTTTGGTGATAGTAAAAGTAGGTATATAGCTGAGGAGACTAACATTGTTTATATTTCACTAAATTACTAATTAATAAAAGTATGCTGTTATTTCAGTAGGAGAATTGCATAGTAGTTTAGACGAAAGAGAAAATCCCGAAGAAAGCGACATAAGTTCATTATTTGGTTTTAAACAGTTACAGATTCACTGCTGTTTGAAATGTGGCAAAGAGGTTTGTACCATTTGGAAAATGTACATCATATACTCAGTATATTTTTGGTATACAGGTGAAAAAAGAATCGATGTTGCTGAATTGTACTTTAGCATATCCAACAGGTGATTTAGAAAAGGACAGTTGGTCCTTCTGTGATATTTTAACTGGTTCTTTGTGCCCCCAACAGATGACTCGAGCATGGTGTGAACAGTGTAACAAATACACTCCCAATTCACAAACAGGAAAACTGCAAGTATGTATGACACTCTTATTTATTACTGTTTGGTGTACGTATAAAATTTTAAACACAAATATTAGATTATTGTGTCCTAATATATTATCTAATAACACGCTAATCATTAGTCAGTAACGTGTAAATAATCTGCGTCATCTTTTTAGTCACTACCGAAAATCCTTTCGATAAACACGGCCCTGCAGAACAGCCAAAATAAATTATTTTGGCAAACACAAATGGAAAAGATGGTATCGAAGGTCAGTTAAACAACTTCTCCATCCATTTGTTTTTTAATTTGATTGCAATATTAGGCCTCCATTGTCGAATCTACCGTTGCAACGAATATGTCTACCATATTGTCTTCCAAACCTTGTCGATATGGAGACAATTGCTCCAGACCAGGATGTCGATTTAGGCATAGTTTTGATCCCGATAAACAGAAGCCCCAGTGCCACGTCTCATGCAGCAACAACTGGCTACCTCACAGTATACAGATGACCCTAGCAAACGATAAACTTGTGATAGAAAAGGTAAATATAAAAAACGAATGTAATATGTTGCAGGAGGAGGGTATCTGTACATAATTATTTTCTAGAGGAATGTTAAAAAAAGCGCAAACGAACAACATGATGCTGTTAGTTCAAAAGAGACCAATAGTGCAAGTACTACTGAAGAAGGATCGCGATCTAGCGAAACACTAGGTGGAAAAATGGTTTCTAACAATTACAATCTTTCTGCGGTTGTTTGTTTTATAAAAGATCATTCTTTTTCCGAGAAGAGGAACTTAATTGCACTCATTAGACTTCCAAATCGAACGAAACAACCATTGTACGGTGGTGGTTATGGAGACGATGAACATCTTTGGTATTTGTTTAACGATTTCACCATTTGCACCGTCCCTGCTCAGGAAACAGTTTGGTTTAGTTTGGATTGGAAAATACCATGTGTGCTGTTCTATTCTTCGGAAAATATGACATTAGAAAAAAAGGAACTGCTGCCTGTTATAACAAAAGTACATCTGTATAAATTAGAATAAATTTAATTATTAAAAAGGTCCAATTTCAGGAAGTGTTTGCTCAGGATGAAAGCATAGGAAAAAGCAGTGGCTGTAAAGGGGTCACATTTACGCCCCTTTCAGAAAAGGAGATGCCAAAGCCTGGGGAATTGGTCGCTATGGATGCGGAGTTTGTTACTTTGGACCAGGAAGAGGCTGAACTAAGAAGCGATGGGAAAATGTCCACCGTAAAGCCCTCCCAGATGTCTGTTGCTAGAATAACTTGTGTTAGAGGGTAAGTAAATTAAAATTTTTCAACATAATTTAAAAAATTACCATGATATAGCCCACAATTTAAAAGGAAACGTCGATTTGTTGGTTTTGCATTAATAAAAAATAGTTTTTACCATAACTAAGATCTTCCCCCCTATCAGTCACTGTGAGATCTAAAACTGTTAGCACCATTGCTTCGATTTGTCGAAATTCACTTTTGTGAACAATTTGTTTAATCGCTTCCTTTTTGTTAAAAATTGTTTGAAAAATTAAATTTAGAGGAATTGTTGGTAAATAGGTATACAACACATCGTACACTTCAGCATAACAAATTGCTCATAATTTCTTTTAAACTTTGGATATTTTATTTATTTAGTAACTGATTGAAAGACTTGCATTTTTAGAAGGATCCAAAGACGATTACATTAGTTTTATTTATCGTATTTTTTTTTAATATTTCAGGCAAGGACCTCTGGAAGGAGTCCCATTTATAGACGATTACATATCTACTCAAGAGCAGGTTGCTGATTATCTTACTAAATTTTCGGGAATAAAACCGGGAGATTTGGATGCCAATTTCAGTTCGAAACATCTTACAACTTTGAAGTCAACTTATACAAAGCTACGTTTCCTGCAAGACAGTGGAGCTGTTTTTGTAGGGCACGGATTAAAAAACGATTTTAGGTAAGAAATGTTTCGAAAATTGAATCGTAATAGTGAATGTTTTTACGTTTACTTTGTGTTGTTTTGTAGAGTAATTAATTTGGTGGTGCCCCCCGAACAAATATTTGACACTGTGCTGCTGTATCATCTACCCCATCATCGAATGGTCTCTCTAAGGTTTCTGGCATGGCATTTTCTAGGTAAGTTTTCATTATTTTTATTATTGACAAATGCCTGAATTAAAGACAAAATTTGAGAAGCCAAAATAAAGTATAAAACATTTAAAAAACAATTGGAAAGTAAATTAACGCTTTGTTGTTAAAATGACACCCAACTTAAGTTTTTAACCCCTGTTCAGGTATCTCTTAAAATGTGTCTTAACCATATTTTACTACCTACATCCTTCGAAGTCCATACCAGTTGCAATTTCCTTGGTGTGATGTTAAACGTTCATCTCTCCATACCAATTTCTAGTTGTTTTTAGTTTCATTTTGAAACCACCCTTAATGTATCTTCAGTAAATCCTCTTTCCCTTTTTTAATTTGCCCAAACAATTTTCAATTACATTTGGATACAAATTGTTCCTTTCAACTGCTTAAATCCTGTTTCGAAAAGCAATTACCCAGTATTACCTACGGGGCCTATGTTTCTTTTCGTTATGCTGCAAGTCTTTGACGTGCATTGTGTTTAGGTGTTAAAATTCAGTCTGAAACTCACGATTCGATTGAAGATGCACGTGCTGCTCTGCATTTATATAGAAAATATAAAGAGTTAGTCGTGGAGGGTAAATTTGTTGATGCCCTCACAAATCTTTATGAGACTGGAAAAGCGTTGAACTGGAGAGTTCCTGACGACTGATTCAACGTATAATATATTTTTCTCTGTACTTGTTGTACTTAACATTCTTTTGTACGTATTATTAAAGTCAAATAAACATTAACTGTACGTACAAGTTCTTTCCTAGTCGCATATGAAACTACAAAGTGGCTAATTAACAATTTTATTTGAAAATTAAACATTCTATATTGTTTTTTATAAAAACTTATAGTTTCTTAAAAACTTTATTTTCGTTATCAAATATTTGTTATTGTTTAAGTTCAGGTACACATTTCGCGTAAGTGTATTCCAGTTTTTTTTATACTAAATTGTTAGTTAATCGTGAAAGTATATGCATTTGGTTGTAGCTGAGCCCCCAAGAGTTAAAACCTTCTGTGACTGTAAGTCTTTCCCTTTATAATAGTTATTTAACTTCAACGCATGTTGTCGTTCAATGTTAAATTAGGCGAAGCTACAGGTGGCATGCGGGAAAAATTAACGTATTCTGATGATTTGTCCAAATTTGACTTTTATTATTTTCTCATAATTTTGTTGATTCCTTGTTTTAAAAATTATTATTACATCTATCGAGGAATAATAATTTTGGATAGAAGGTATAGAAACTACAAAGATGCTGTGGCACGTTTATTATTATAATTTAAATCAGCATTAGCTAAAAGTGTCCATTTTAAAAAAGAGTTTAACACCGCAATAGAGCCTTAAATGTAGAATGCGTCCGGCGTTACCTTAACTCTAGAACAAACAGCGCGTATAAGACCTGTATAAATTTTTCATTGTAATTGACAATTTATTTTTTTAAACATACATACATACATAAGAAATAAAGTACAAAAAATTGTACATACAATATAATTATTACAAATAGCCGATAAGAAAGTTGTTTCAATACTGCTAGTCAGTACTTTCTTTTTCAAATACTTATCACAGTAAAAGTACAGTGGTCCGCCATAACATATATTTATACATATATTATTTATATTTAGCTTTCGCAGTCTATTTTTTCTTGCTTTTATCTTATTTCCTATGGCTCGTATTAATCAATTAATTAATACTAATATTAATTAGCACACCGATGAAAATTTCACCTAGGTATTTTTGCCTTTATATTCAAATGGATTGTACGATAATGATAACACACATACTACTTTATTATCCAGCCAAAACAAAAGTATCTACGCAGTGGATATTTATGTTTCGCTTTTAGACTTTTTTCTTTATTATTAATTTTACAATTTGATAAATAGTTGTAAAAAAAACTGCATTCTTTCTTGTTTAAAATCTGCCTGTACTCAAAATACATTTCAAAGATACAGAAATTGTTTGGTATTTTTATGTGGTGGTGATGATGTTGTTGAGAAATCAGTTAACTTAGAAGCAAGTTTAGTGTCTTTTTGCCAGGATTTCAATTGTTATTTAGCAAATATTAAACAGAAAGAGTTCATGTGATTGTCATTGGTCGTTTTGGTTTTTTCTGCAAATATTTATCAAACTAATGTGATTTAATCATTCTGAATATTTTAATTTTATTTCATTAATAAACGTGTCCGTTTCTCGTTTTCAAACTAATTGTAAGTACTAGAAATAATACGTTTGAATAAGGGGGTACAAATATTTTCATTCGATTAGGATATCGCAAGTGTCATGCTGTTTATATTGGTGATAACGGTACCGTTGTTCGTCGCAAGCAATGTCGGTAATAAAAGGGCTCGAAGCGTTATCTTTGGTAAGGTCCACCAACACGTGGTCACTGTTCATACTCGAACTTCTGCTCAATGACACAGAATTCGAATTGATGATATCCGAAGGTCTTAAAAAAATCAGACTGCTCTCAAATGCAGTGTTGGTCGAAGGTCAAGCCAATGTATACAATGAGTCTTCTGGTTCCGGTGTCCAACAGTTGTCCGATAGCCAACAGCCAATCACAACCGTCACAAATCCTATCAGTAACGCTAAGATTATGTAAATTTCGGCCTTTCCTGTGAAAAACATTTTACTAAGTTATTATTGCACTTTTTGACTAAATTATTGCAATCTCCCCCCCGTCGTTCTCTCTCAGATTAACGGTGTTTATGGGCGAAATTATTACAAGAAGAACTTTGCGTTGATTGTGAATTAAATAAAAGTTCCCTTTGAGAATTAATTACCAAAGTTGAAAACGCTTTTAAAGACTTATTATCCCAAGCTTAAACTTAGCAAGTTGCTAGTAGGATTTGTTGTTAATCTCTTTTAAACGCAAGCTTGGTAAGTCTGCGAGACTTGTAAATTGTATATTGTTAGAGCTGCACGTGCCTTACAGCCAAGGAGTTATCATATAATTAATAATGAGACACACGGGTAGTTTGAACACAATTCATTTAAAATTAAATTAGCATTGGACAAGCGGCAGTCTTTTTTATCTAACGGATCATTTTAAGTAGTAGTTATAATGCATACTAATGTATGGATATGACTTTTTTGGGTAAAAATGGTCACCTGGGTGTTACATAACTTTTAAAGGGAGGGGGTAATGCGAAACGTTACAGTGTATTGCGTGGAAGGGAGAGTGAAAAATTTTCAAAATGTATTAGTAAAAGAAAGGAAGGGGCGGAGGGGGAAGCTTGCTTACCAAGTTGTTTACGAATTCCATTTCCCATTTTGCTTTTCCATAAACTATTAATGAGAGTCGGATCGGCCCTTCGCCATTCTCTCCATCCCCCGTAGTGTCTTCTTATTCCTCCAATCGAGTCAGCATTATTCATTTTTATAATTACACTGGGACCGGGAGTGCTCGCACTCGAACTCACTTGAATGCTTTGCAAATCGCTACTTTGCGACGAGCTATTTAAACCAAGCACTGGAAAGTCGACGATTTTATGTTGTACGGTTGTGTCATAAGTTAGAGAGCGTCATTGTCATTAACGTATGTGTACAATATATCGTTAATGATGTCTTTAAAAATTACCACACCGTTGACTTTATATTTGACTTGCAACTTCGTGTAGTACTTGACATTTAACCATTAAGAAAAAAGAGAAAATAACTTAAAAGTGAGGCACCCATTCAATTGAATTTAGCTATTTTTAAACTGGGCTATTTTTTAATATTCCAAAAAAATAGTACGGAAAAAATTATGAATGTTTGACAAGAGTTTATTTTTTAATATGTTGAAGGGGGGGAGGGTCAGTGTGAGTATAAACTTGATTTTCGGGATTTAAAGCCCTCCTCCATTTTGCTGTCTTCTAAGGAGGTGGGGGGCATTCAACCCTGAAACCATGTTTTGTACTTACATTGACCGCCTCTACATTGCAAAGTCAGTAACATTTAAATGGATTATAAGTATTTGAATAATACAATAATCTTTTGTTAAATTCAATGAGCTCCGTGATAATTTTTGAATTAAGTAGGGAATTTACCAGCGAAAGCAAAAAGTCCCAGCATGAATATTATTAACCACCCCATTACATGGACTTCTGTATTAGAAATGAATTGTCATCGACTCGGAAGCAATCGTGTCTTCTTCTAAACAGAGTCGCTTTGTATGCTTGCTGAACATATTTATAGAAACGGTGTATTACAAGCATGAAAACCTACAATTAAAATTATTATTTGAAATTATAAAAGCATTTACATATTTTTGTTTTCTATATAGGTATACGTTGATTTAAATTCTAAAACTTAACGAGTTTAATTGAAGAAAATGGGGGGTTAAATTTCACCGTGCACGTGATTATTTTTTTTTTCGGATTTCCGGGGATTAGTTTACGAGAGGTTGTTGAGGTTGACGCATTAAATTTACAACACATGTCGCGCGAAAATATAAATTATTAAAGCAAAACTTTTGCTGAACTTTAGAATGCTTTTTTTTTAATTAATTTACTTTAATTACATTTGATTCATTTAAATAGGCAGTTATTAAATTAGAACAATTACATTTTTTAAAAGTCTAAGCACTTAATTAACAATAAAGCTAGATATGTTACTGTCTTCTTCGTTAAAAATGAAATTACTTGTGAAACATTTGCATTGTTCAAAATTAATAAGCAGTAATGAAAAGTTATATTTGTAAGCGCTGCATCGTTTCAAAAACGAACGAAACAAGAAGTTAAAAAGAAGAGCTTTTCTCTTTTATTGGATGCATTGTATCTTATTGATTTACTATTAATAATTTTGAAGTTATGTACAGTTATGTTTGGAGTGTCTGACATCCGTTTGACGAAAACACATTTATAGCAATCCCCAAAAGGTACAGAAGATTCGATATGAAATTTAGTAAACTGGGAACAGATGATTTTCAGTTTGAACAGTTCAACAGAACTGGCTTCTCTGGTTTGGAAGCCACTCTTCCTAACTCTTATTGTAACTGTATGATCCAGGTACATTTAAACCACCGTTAACACATATAAAAAATACTTTGTATCTTTTTGATTAGGTCCTGTATCATATTGAACCTTTACGTGTGCTTTNATTTTCTTCAAGATTTTTTTTATATCGAAAAAAAAAAGGCAGTTAGGGGTTGTAAGTGTTTTCTACTTACGATACCGTGAAAATTGCGTGAAAAAAGTCGTTGTTGCACTTGGCAGATGAAACTTGAATACTGACCGGCGGAGCTGGTACCAAATCCCAGCTTTGAACGCGCATGAATCCTGAATATTTGCACCTGCCGAATCTCCCACAACCAGGGAAATGTTGTCTACTCATACATTGATAAGTTTATTTGTATATACCAACATATATACACTTAGTTCATTGATATGCATTGTTTGTGTATATGTTTGTATGAGAATTGCAATTTATTGGTGTGCTGGCTTCAATTTGATCCTTTTTAAGGACTTGGCTGCTGCAAGAGTCAGAGTGGCTGTGGGATTCGGAACAGGATCGTATTTAAAATACGAGGTGCGCTCCATAACTAATGCAACCACATCTAATAAGGATCTTTCGTTAAACATATTCCAGCAAAAGTTTTAAACAAAGTGCTTCAACAAAGCACCCTTCCGCGCTGATACACTTCTAGAGACGAGTGTTTCAGAGTCTGGAAGACATCCTAGAAAGTCTTTTCCGGGATGTCTTTCAGAGCCGATGTAACATGAGTCTAGATCTTTTGAATCGTGTTTCAATGTTTCCCTTTAAGGATTCTTTTTGATTAAAAAAAAACAAAAGCCTGGAATCGTGTTACATAAGCTCAAAAAAAGGTTGAATAGATCTCAAAAAGAGGTTGATCTTTGAATCTTTGATCTTCAACCTCTTTTCGAGCTCGTTTTAAAACTAATTTTCCCCCCTCCACTTAACCCAACATGTTACCACGCGTATCGAAAAAGTTTGTTGCATTACTTATGGAACGCACCCTGTACTGTTCGTTTTTTTAAAGAGTTGATATATACACTAGTGGCGAGTTGAAAAAACCAACATAGGGATTTTCCATTGACGATTGACGACATCTTTTGAAAAATACGATGCGGTATAGAAAAATTCGTAGAAATACCGTCTTTTCATAGAAATAATTAAATAATAAGTCTAAAAATTAAATATCAAAAAAATCATTTATAAGTTCAGTAAACATTTTGCCTTATCTGTATAGAGCATTTTATCCATTTACATGGGTATATACTTGCAAAAACGTTTGCTGTAATTAAGAGATTTTGTCTTCTGGTGGCAGTTAATTATTATTAGCTTAAATAATGAGACAATCGATTTTCTGTATAAGTAGGAAGAACAGTTGTGTCGACACCCAGGATATTCATTTACGAGTAGTAATTCTTAACGACAGGCCACGCGTTTATAGAAGTAGTCGATAATTTAAAGGGGCTTTTGATATTCAACATTTAAGCCGTTTAACACTTTACAGTGCCTTATAATTGTTAATAACGATTATAAAATGTTAAGAATTGATACTTAAATGTGTAGAAATTATAACTTATAAATACCATACGTCGAAAAATGAAAATTCTATTACTTTATCGGCTTTAATTTTTTCATATTAAGAATTAAAACTGAAAGTTCTATACCTTAAATATAAATTATTATTTTTAGACCACAATATTCGGAGATAAAGAAAAATAAATTTACTATATTTCTTAAGTATGCTTAATTTTTTCCGCATGTACTTATAGGTTTAAGGTTTTTAAGAGTTTAAAAATTTACAGCAAATAGAAAACACAACAGTTTATTCATTTAAAATTCAAGACTAACTTTAATGTCATCAAACTTTTGTATTTCTTTACTTTCTTCAATTTTTTCCATTTCATTATTTTCTGGCTCTTCCCCAGGAGGGCATGTGTAGAATGGCAATTTTCCTCTTTGCCAGTCGTTTAGCACCATCTTGGCTACGGTAGCTATATCGGGTTCCCCTTTCTTCAACAGTTTACCCGATTTGCAAGCATATTTTTCCAAAAACTGCATCGGATCGCCGTTCCAGTCCGAAATTTTATATGTTTTAATGATATATTCTTTTTTAACACGGGAAAGAACCGCACCAATGTAGTCCTCTGGATTGGTTATCAGTTCCACCCTTACTACTCCCTTTAACACTTTCTCGGTGTCAGTTTCTCCCGAAGGATAAACCACCCCGGGGCAATCAATCAAATAAATGCGTCTCATCAAAGTGATGTATTGCCACACTTTTGTCTCTCCGGCAATGGGAGCTACATTACACACTTTTTTACTACGTAATGTGTTAATAATGGAGGATTTTCCAACATTTGGATAACCAATAAATCCTACTGAAATCTGTTTCTTATCCATGTGGAGTTTAGCAAATTGTCGCAGTAAATTTATTAAAGCTGACTTCCCAAACGGATGTGTTAAGCTGGCATGGAATGCCACTGTAGGGTATTCTCTGCTTAAAAGTGCCACCCATCTCCTTGTGACCCATGTAGGTACTAAGTCAACCTTATTCATTATAAAAATTAGATGTTTATGAGGCTTCTCTGTCTTAAGATACTTTTCAACATATGCAGACCTTGTACCCTGTGGATCTCTTGCATCTAGAATTTGTAGAACGACATCGGAACTGTCCAAGACTTTGTACAGTTCATTCCAAATACGTCTTGACATACCAGCACCCATTACCCAGTCACGTGGTAAAGTTCTCATGTCGTCGTCTTCTTGTGATTGGGCTTTTTCTTTATTGTAAGCTTCCTGCCTCTCTTCTGCAGCTTGGATTAAATCTTCAATACCATTACTCACTTTCAAGTTGGGTCTCTTTCTGGATACTTTAGGACCAAATACACTCTCAAAACTTTCGTTGTCTAAGATGTGGGACCTCTGATACTTTGCTTTCTCATTTAATAGAGTGCATGGAAGATTCGAAGGTTTCATAATAACTTGATAGGGATTTTTTAGAGCAGCTCCTATCTTCTCTTGGAACTGTTGTAAACTATTTTGTGTTATAACTCGAGAACTCCCAAACCATTTTTGATTTGGCTCTATTCTAGCCCTTGACCCTGATGGTAATCTATCCTAGAGGACCAATTAGTATTCAATTATATAATATGAACATGATTTAATGTAATTTCGTACCTGAAATGGTGCTGCTTTTATTATTTTTCCAGATCTGTCTCTTTTTGCTTTAAATTTTCTGTACATTTGAAGCCTTTCGATTGTAGATCTTGATCTTGGTTTTGCAACATTTTTTAGCTCGTCTTTGTTACGATTAGGGTTTAAGGAATTATTGGAGCGTTTCTTCTCTTTCTTTACAGGGCCCATTCTGACTGAAGTTTATTTAAGCGTTTATAATTGTCCTAAGACAGCTTGGTTACTTATTTTGGATATCAGAACACAAACACAGAATATATTACAATTAATATGCAGTTAATATATTTCTTGTTGTATACACTAATGAGGTTTTTTCAACGTTTATCTAATATTTAGATATAAAAAAAACCGTCCAAAACACTAAAATTAATGATAACATGAGTTATAACCTCTCTAACCTCTTCAAACTTCAAATTCTAATTTCCACCGTTGCCATATCGTACAATTGTCAATTTAATATTTAATCAAAAAATGAAGTCTTATTTAAGTACATGAAGCCTAGATTAAAATCTTAAAAATATAAATATTGAAACAATATGAAACATTAAATTTAGTGATACATAGGAATTGTGGAATTATTTTACTTATTGATTTTGAATATAAGTTCAATTTTTGTATTACAGCCGTATAATAACGATAAGATATGACAACGTTGGATTTCATTCTTTTTTTGTAGTGTTCTATAGTTGGTTTAGTTAAAGCTGTTGTTCTGAGAGAGCGCTCTTATTGATCATTATGATGGTCTTATGTTGTCTATGGTCGTGAGTATCTATAGTCTTATGTCAAATTTGTGAACAATGGCGACTACAACAAAAATAATCCAATGTGATTATTTTAGTCGTTTGTTTAGATTTTAACTTGATGTGCAAGTTTATTTATTTTGCCGTTTGTAAAAAGAAAATTATGCTGTAAATACTTTACTATAACTTATTTTCGAATATGTAGGCCAAGTTTCAAAAATATTGCTTTTGAATGACGTTATACTTCTGGTATTATTTTAATTTTGTATAATTGTGCTGTGAAAAATGGAAGTGGTCGGTGATTACGAATATAATAGTAAAGATTTGATTGGGCACGGAGCATTTGCTGTCGTTTTTAAAGGCAGACAAAGAAATGTATGTGTGAAACTACTTATTAGTTATTACATTATATTAATGTCTATTAATGCATTGTTCATTATGTTATAGAATCACAACTTTACTGTTGCAATCAAGAGCATCACAAAGAAAAGTTTGGCAAAGTCCCAAAATCTTCTAGGAAAAGAGATCAAAATCTTAAAGGTATGCTTTTATTAATTGATTATTTGTTTCTGGATATTTGTATATTGAATTGTTTACCATTGTACATGGTATGTGAGTCTAGGTATTATTTATTGACACGTGTATTATTTTTATTGTACACAAAGATAATTATGTTGCTATTTATCAGTTTAAATTGGTTTTGTCTCAAAATAAATGATAATAAATTCCAAATAGTTCATGCACCCAATTGCATTTATTGGAATAATAAAACAGTAGATTTAACTAAAAAAATATATATCCAGTTAAATACATGTTGCATTTAAAAGAAATAGTATAATTATATTTCTAAATTACATATTTATTTAATGTGATACTGATTTTTATGTTTACTAACCATGTAGCACGGTAATATTTTTATGACTGTAAGTAGACTTTGAATTTTAGTTTTGCAAAAGAGGAAATTTATAAATTGAAAAACAGACTGCTTGTAAAAATAGGTTTTTGTAAAAAAAAATAGGGAATATTTTTTAATTTTAATATTTTTATTGAGGTATTAGCTATGCAACAGCCTATACGCATTTGTGTTGTTGGTTGTCTAACAAATGCAAACTTTTAATACCAACTATATTTTGAACGTCGTTTTTATTTTTTATTTAATTGTAGGAGCTGACGGAATTACATCATGAGAATGTCGTTGCGCTTTTGGACTGCAAAGAATCTACCCATAATGTGTTTCTTGTTATGGAGGTATGCTTTTCTTTCTTTATTTACTTATTTTTAAATTTCTGGACCAAAGAAAACATAAAAGAGCTTCCACTTTTATCTCGTACTCACTGTTTCATAAAGTAATTTTATTTTCGCTACACAGTGAGGTCGTGATTAAACAAAGGAATATTATTGTCAAATAGTTAAAAAAATTATTTATTACATAAGCTTTGAAATTATTTAAAGGAATGCCTTAATTTTTAGTAATTGCACAAAAACGCCAATGCATGGTTGGTTTATTTCTAATGTTTATTAAACTATTAGTTCATTTCAAATCTTACAATTAATAAAATTAACATAGCTGGTACATTACTTAATTAATTCTAATTTGGCTTATTTTCATTTTACAACTACAGACAGTTATTAGGTACATAAATTTATAAAGTGTTCTAAATTATAATTTGAAACTTTATTGTAATAATAACGACCCAATAATCTTAGTACATATTGTATTACAATAAAGTTTTTATCAATGTTTACACGGACTAGTTCACTTTGTGGTCGATTGCTAATTTTTAAGTCTAAAGTGCATAAGTAATTCGATCGTTGTTGCTGGTAATTTTTTCTTTTTACTCAACCGTGAATCAAACGACGCCACAAATACCGATAATATACAGTTTATTTATAAAATAATATTAATCAAAAGGTTAATTAATTCAGTTTCTAGTTGCTGCCATTGCGTTTGTTATCGTCTTCACCTGATGGATTCTGCATTAAAGGTTCTTGTTCTTGTTTTGGTATTCCGTTGTTGTGATGCACAGATATTTCTTTAAGTTCCCTTTCGACTGGTTCTTCCGTATTTGCCGCCTTGTACGTTCGGTTTTTGTACCATCGGTATCCAAATGCCGCCAACCCTATACAGACTACAGCGACCCCCAGAATTATAAAAATGTTTGCGTTCGATGTTGACTTTTCTGTTGAACCTTCAGCTTTTATTTCTCCTAAAAACCGAAAAAAATGGAATAATTAGTTTGTCTTAATTTTTTTTTAACAAACGTACCTTTACTAATGTTGCCTGCTGATGCTCTCGGATCGACCCCATTCGACTCCTCTTCAGTTTTTAAATGTTCATGTTTTTCCTCCGCATGTGTATCACTATTTGTGAACGTTGCTGAGCTTAAGACTGCTTGATTTTTCCTCGTAAATACGTTTTTCTCGGTGTCTAAATTTGTTGGAGATGTTGTATCAGGGCCTGTTTCTTTATGTGACGAATGAGTTTCTTTTTTAACGTCTGTTTGAAGGGCCACCATTACTTGTGGATGTCGGGGACTTGTCTCTGATGGTTGGGGTTTTGTTTCTGATTGCTGGGTATTTGTTTCTGATTGTTGTGGAATTGTTTCTGATGACTGGGGACTTGATTCTGATTGTTGAGGTACTGATTCTGATTGGTTTGAAGTTGTTTCCGGCTGTTGTTGCACTGTTTCGGAAGGTTGTTGGCCATTTGTTTCTAGTAAATTTGTTGCTGATTCATTAGATTTTCCAACAGTTTCTTCTACAGTTGGTTCTGTAGCCCCATCGGTACTCGTTTTTATTTCTTCCGGTGATGGAGGTCCTTTGACTTGAACTGGTGGTAAATCGGTGGCCGTATTTTCTTTTTGTACATCTTGCGCTTTACTTTCTTCGGCTGTTACGTTACTAGTTGTGTCGAGCGTTTTGACGTCTTCGATTTTATCAGATTCAGACGGGGACTCGTCCCCGGAACCGTCGTAACCATAAGCCGCTGGTTGATCGTTTTGTTCTTGGTCCATGAAGGGGTAAACTTCTTCCGATACCATGTCGATCTTATCGTTTTCATCTGTCTCTTTAAAGTCACCTCCTGTTTCAGTTTCCTCATGTTGTATGGGCGTTATTTGATGTAATTTTCCTGACGACGATTCTTTATGATAAATTGTGTTGTTTAAACATTTGTATGTGTGATTTTCTTTAGAATCAACGATAATTTCTAGTTGCTCAACTGATGTGCAAATTTCGTGTATAGTTTCTTCGGCAGAGTATGGTAAAAATAGTACTTGCGGATTTTGAAGCGCGTTAAATGTAAAGGATTCCACAATCTAAGTAAAAAATTAAAATGTTTCATTAAAGATTACCGATCGAAATACTTATGGTAATAAGTCATTACCTTGAGTGGATTATTTCGTAAATCTATAATTTTTAAGTTTTGAAGTCCGTCGAAAATGTTTGACGGCAATTCATATATATTACATTGGGTCAAATTCAATTCTTCAATGTCAGATATTAGTAGTGTGGCGTACTCGGGTAAAAAGAGGTCTTTATTATTGGCCAAATTCAATTTTTTTAGTTTCTTGTTATTTTGAAACACGTCTTCCCTCAAGATCTCAAGGTTGTTATTGGACAGATCTATTTCTTCGACATTTGGATACAAACTAAATGCCTACAAAATAAATGTGCATTATTTTTCACAATTAACAGAACGTTAACAACATTTCTTTGGAAGTAGGTTCTAAAAGCGATCGTAAAACTGCTTTATTTGGCGATTCATTTAGCGCGCAAAAACAAATTGCCTTAAAAAAATGTTTAATTAATATTGTATTCTTACAATGCTGTCAAGGTTCTTCCATCCCTGCCCGCTCAAATTTAAAATTGTAGTATCGTAATCTGCATTATCTTGTTTTTCTTCTGCGGCTCTGGAAAAATACAGTAGGTACATATGAAAACCGAAAATTTACGCAATGTTACAAACAATTTTAACACCAAAATTAGCTCGATAATAAAACTATTTACACCTTTTTTTTTAATTTATTTAGCACGCATTACGTCTATGTTAAGTAAACGAGATAGGGAGTGGTTTGAAATACATACTTTTAAATCATTATTTATTACAAGTACTTATAGTTTTGTTTTGCCACTTACCCGCAAAGAACGATTGCCAAAATCAGCACAAACTCAAAGTGAATTTCCATCTTTTTTTTCGTGTCCTTTTTTTCTCTTTTTATAAATTTAGGCAGACAATTCACACCTTTCGTACCATAACTTGAACGCTTTACTGCATATTATATTTAATATGATGCTTTTGAAGATAAGATTACACACGCGTTATCATTCAACAAAAACATTCATAGGAATATGCAAAGTTAATACGTTTATATGTGTATTATTGTGTACGTATGTTGAGTGTGTTTGGATTGTTTTTTTACGTCACACATTAGGTGCAGGTAGTAGGTGTTGGTTGGTAGTTGGCGGTCGTATACGAATTTTGTTGATTTAATTTTATTTGTTTTACAATTTTTTTAATGAAAAAAGTTGCGATATTGTATAACTTTTCAAATCGCACCTGAGTTTGTAATACTATTCTGTGTGTGTGTGTGTGTGTGTGTGTGTGTATGAATAAGCAAAAGAGAGAGAATGAGAGAGAACGAAGGAAAGTTTAAAAGTTTTTAATTTTTTGTACTTAGATACATGATTACACTACGTACTTTTGAGGTACTTACAGGAAAATAGGATGATTTCATACGTTTGGAAAATTGAGTATTATTTGTTAATTTATCATTTATTAACAAGAAACTGTATAATATTCCTAGCATTAATTTGTAAACGGAAAACTTTTCTGTTTTAATGAATTTTGTAAATGTCCAACTTTTTTCTTTCAGTACTGTAATGGGGGAGATCTTGCAGATTATTTATCAGGTAGGAATTTAAAAAAATGTACCCTTTTTCGGCTTCTAAATATTATTATTTAACTTTTCTAGGAAAAGGGACCTTAAGTGAAGACACCATCAGATTATTTCTAGTACAATTGGGTAAATACTATTATTTGCCATGTTATTACGTACATATTTAGTTAAACGCGGGTTTATTTTTCTCTAGCTGGTGCTATGAAAGCCCTTTATGCCAAAGGAATCGTACATCGTGATTTGAAACCGCAAAATATTCTGTTGTCACATTCAGGTGCCAAACAGCATCCGCAACCTTCAGAAATAAAATTGAAAATTGGTAAAATTTTACCGGTTCATGATTTATTGCATATTTTGATTTGTTTTTATATATTTATAGCGGATTTTGGTTTTGCACGGTTCCTCCAAGACGGGGTGATGGCAGCTACACTTTGTGGAAGTCCCATGTACATGGTGAGTTACTTAAAAATTAGATATTAATTACTTTTTCGTAATGAGAAAACATATCATAACATATCTTTTTTTGTGAAAATAATTTGTTTTAAATTCGCCTTATCGATAATCATTTATTATGTTAATCTCAAACAGTTATCGGCGCTTACCTTATCGTTTACTTAAAATAAAAGTGATCTTTAGCCCATGTTGCTTTACTTTTCAGAATGAATCATTTTGTATATGTAGTTGTAATAAGAAATAATAATGAAATGACGCGAGGAAAAGATATGGTTCAAGTTTTAAGTAAGAATCTAATTTTTAAATTATCAAAATTATTACAATTATTTGCATGTGACTAACTTGAGTTTATTATCTTATCTGTTTTTTTGGGTGATTAATGAAATGTTCCACTGTTAGTAATCAGTTCAGGAATAGGTTTTTTTATTTTAAGAACTTGTTTTATAAATATATTTACAAATAAATTAGGCTAAAATAAAAAATGTATCGTTGCTTTTTGTTTAAAGAATTGAAGAGATCTGATAATTGCCATTTAATTTCAAACCTCTCAAGAAAAATGCTACCAAATTTACGTATTTTTACTTGAAATCGTTTAATTTTAATAATTATAAATAAGTCCGAAAATTCCTGATTATTTACAAAAACTTAGTTTTTTACTCCAAAAACATGTAGACATTTTATCATTTTATCGTAGGCTCCAGAAGTGATAATGTCACTTCAATATGATGCCAAAGCTGACCTCTGGAGCTTGGGCACCATTGTCTTTCAATGTTTGACCGGTAAAGCACCCTTTCAAGCTAACACACCTCAAGCTCTGAAGCAATATTATGAAAAAAACGCGAATTTATCCCCTAAGTAAGTTAAACAAAAATCTTTATTATAATGATTATTATGTTGTTCCTTGTTTTTTTTTAGAATCCCTATAGGTACTAGTCCAGAATTATGTGATTTATTGAACGGTCTTTTGAAAAGGAATGCAAGGGAACGAATGAACTTTGAACAGTTTTTTAATCATCGTTTCTTACAAAGATCTGAACCACAAAAGTCTCAGAGTCCTTTAACAGCAGGTGATTATTTTTTTATTCGTTGTTTGACTGGTTTTATTGCCTTCAAATTAACTAAATTTTTGTTATTTTACTATGATTATAGTTGAATTACCAATTCCTGTGTGTGGTTCACCTCCTAGTCGGATTCCTTTATTAGGGTCTACACCTGTTAAGGCCGAGGTAGCTCCTAAATCATTGCCTGGTGAGTCCAGAAAATAACTATATCAGAAACATTTTTTCACAAAAAATTAGGACAGACTGAAAATTTTCATTTTTAAATTATTATTTTTTTACATGTAGACGCAGTTAGGAATGCTAATTTGTATTTTTGTTTTTACATTAAATTAAATTACAATTTGTAATACAACATTTAGGCAACCCAACATACAGAAATGTTACAAACTAAAAATGCAACTACAAAGAAAACTGGAAAATGATTAACTAAAGGTTGTAATTGAAGTATAATATATGAATTTTCCTCTTCGAATTATATTTTCTCCACGTAGACGTAGTTAGGGATGTTAATTTATATTATTCTTTTTACAATAAATTAAACTACAATTTCTAATATAGTATATAGACAACCCAACATACAGCAAATTTTACAACTTTAATAATGTAGTTAAAAAACTTTTTTTCGGCTGAGCCACACATACCTCCTAGTAATGGTATTTATTTTAATAATATTAATATTTTATCAACAGAGTCCCCTCGATTGTCTGCGAAAAACACGCTGAGTTCAAGCCCAGAAGATGATTTCGTACTGGTGCCTTCTAATTTACCATCTGACCATTCATCTGAGAGTTTTGGAGTCAAGCAACAGTAAGTTGACTCTTTAATCGATTAACTGATTACCAAATAAGAATAATTTATTATTAATTTTATTTTGTTTGCCTGTTTGGTAGGTGTAGAACGGTGAACGCAACTGGTAAAGTGTCTCCTTCACAATTTACCGAAGTCGCAAGTCCTTCAAGACCAAGTTACCTACCCATATCAGAACCCATCCCAGTCCCAACACAAAGAGACACTTTTGAAAGAATGAATAATCAAATAGACAGGTCTGAAAGAAATAATGACGACTCGTCGACTGCTAAGGTGGGTTAATAACAATAACAACAATTTTTATTTAATATAATCAACAAATTAACTTTACAGATTGTTAATAGTTCTGTGCCTAGATCTCAACCAATAAGTATGAAAAGGTCGAACAGGCAAACAGATATTAACATTACTTCCTTGTCGCCACCTTCAGTAAGTTTTAAAAATATGTGACTTTTGTCTCTTTATTGATGAATAATTATTATTTTTTACAGGTGCAATTCGTAATTGGAACGCCCCCCGGTGGTGGACGTAAACGTTCCACATCAGGTAGTTCTATATGTGAGACTCCTCCACCTCCAAGCATCTGGCAGGTCTCACCAGTATCAGGTGCTAAATCTATGCCCAGAAACACGTCATTTCTTGAACCAGGTTTGCTTATTACATATCAAAAACTTCATTCATCGCATTTTTGACTAATTCTCAGTCATAGTTTAATACTATTGTTACTTAGCTTTGGGCAGTAGGAAGAAAAGTAATTTATTGATTTATTTTATTCGACAATTAGGAACTTCGCCCCCGATGTTAAGCGGTCCGCTGGCGCGTGTCCCGATACTGAGCAGTCCCAATTTATCGGATAACAATAATCTCCGCAATCCACCTGTGATGCCTTTTGGAACCAGGGCTCGAACATTACCTGAAATTACCGAAATGGGGAATTTCCCCATGCCTTTTGGAGACAAATCGTCGGTTGTAGAACACCCGTTGACGTTCCTAGCGCCCGAATTGCCCGAAGAAACTCTTCTAGAGGTACGACATTCACTAAAACTATAACATGCTCCCGATACATCCCGCTCCTTTTTTGTCATTATTGAGAATCTTTTTTACTATAAAATATGTTTTAATTAGAGGGAACATAACGAAACATTGGCGAAAATCAACTTCGTGTTGGCGTTGAGCAATTGTATTCTGGAATTGGCTCAAGCAAGGGCGACCCCGTTGCAATCTTTAGTAAACGAGCCGGTTGCGAAAACCCAGCCTCAGACAGAAAACTGTCGAAAAGCTGAACAGTTGGTGCTCCTCGTCAGGGCTCTGCAGCTACTCGGTTCCGGCCTGTCACTGGCAACACAGCAGCTCAAATCAGGGCAGCTTCGACCCAGTCAATCCGTCAAGCAGGTTGTGTCGAAACTTAACGAGAAATTTCGTGCTACACTCGCGGAATGCAAGCAACTAAATAGCACAGGATTGCTTTCAAAGGTGTGTATTTACAACACAGAATTAATATGAAACAGAACTCAAATAATGTATTAGGTATTTCATTTTCATACGGACGAAATTACAACATAAACATACGAGTGTTGTTTTTTATTAATTTTTTAGTCTATTTTATTATTACAATATTATGTGGTGCTTACGTAGGTTTACGTATAAACACAAACAAAAATTAATTATTGTATAATTTTTTCTGTTTACAGATTGGCTCCACAAATATTACAGCTGACAAAATTCTGTATAATCATGCAATACAAATGTGTCAGACGGCAGCTCTAGATGAACTGTTTGGCAATCCGGAGGAGTGTTTCCAAAGATATCAGACAGCCCAGATACTACTACACAGCCTGTCCCAACAGGTTCATGATTCCCAGGACAAGGCACTATTAACTAAATGTAAGTATTTTACTACTTTATATCCTTTATTTTTCAAGGGAGACACTAAAAGGACTAGGCAATTTGTTTCGAAACCCATCTCATTAATGTTGCACACTTTCAAATTTTATTTTTTAAAAAAATGAAACTACTCCATAATAACTTCTCAGCAATACTTCGCTTTATATTTGTTTCACTCGGTAAATTAATTTTTAAATTATAATTATTAGTTTAAAGACATTGTCGATCATGTGATGCTTTTTTACTGGACCTTGTGACTTATTTTTTTTTTATTAATTATTAACTATTTGATCCTTTTAACTTCTTCAGATAAAGAGGCAGTAGAAAAGCGACTTTATGTTCTTCAACAACAAGGTTTTATTTATGCTACTGATATTGGAAAGATAAGTAGTGTTGTTTAAGTAAAATAAAAAGTTACGAATGCATACACGCTGATCTACATATTACATATGTTTATATTTTAAATAAAAAGACGACTAAGAGTTTAATAATACAAATCAATATGATATTATTGTACTTCTTTTGTGTTGTCGTTTAATTAAGAGAACTGTGTTGCTTCCTTATTTATTTGTAATTAAAAGTTCAATAGAAATTTTAACAGTGAATAAAAAAAAGAATGTAACTATTAATTAATCGTTAATCCTATTTTAAGACAGACTTCTTCATGTAAGTAGTAAATTTCAATAATAACGAAGCGCATGTACAATAAATATTTAACTTAATACTTGCCTCTATATTATATTTTCATAATGTCGATTCCTTATCCTTAACTAAACTTCTTTTACCCGCAAGGTAAAATAATAGAAGCGTAAAATCGAACCCCCTCCAACCCCACTTTATATAAGTGTAATGTTGCATTTTATTTTAATCGAATTTTTATATTTAATATTTTATTTTCAGGAATAGTTTCAATAGTATTAAGTTAGAAGTTAGTTTAAATATTTCAAGATTTTACGAAAATAAGCGTTAGAAGACTGAAATTGGACTTCAGTGGTAAATATTTTTCTATTGATAAGTACTAAATACTTTTTTTATTGTTTAGGAATAGTACATCAAATTTTATTTGTAGCAACAGTTCAAATTGTTTGTTGTTTTTTTCATATAACTCTTTTCTTTTACATGAGAAATAATCAGTTTCTAATTTAAAATGCATTAGCAAAAGAAAAAATTTTATTTCACTCGATAGAAAAAGCTTAACAAAAATCTACATCTTTAAATATTTATTACCCTAGACAATTTCTGAACTCTGTTCAGTAGAAGATCCCCTTGCTTGATAACTGCGTTAAACTGAGCATTTTTTTGATCCGGCCTATTTGTCTCAACAATGCCACCTACCCTATCAATTCTTGCATGAAGTCTTCCTGTGGCTATAAACTGAGACAATTCTCTGAAAAATAAAAAGGAGAAGGTAAGTGTTTGCTTTGTTTTACACACATATGTTTGCTGGTATTTTAATATTGTTGGAACTGTAAACTCCGAATATATCATAATTTATAGTAACTTACTCATCAATGAAGTCAGTAGAAACGCCAAAAGCCTCGGCCATATATTGTAACGTTAAAGAACGATAAGATTCCAGTAACTGTGAATAAGCCAATATTCTCATCTCTCTTACATAATAACGGTAGTGTGGATTTAACAAATAGTCTTTGCGAAAGTTTCTCTCAACTTCAGCTAGAAATATAATTGCTTTTATTTGAAAATTTTTATAATACTAAAATCAAATATTTACCTAAGTTTATGAAAAATTCTGAATACTGACAGTTGTACAAAGAAAACAAATAATCTTTTACTTGGGGTTCAGAATGCAAAACTTCCAGTATCTCCGAGCCTTTTATCACCTAAACAAAAATACATTTTTTAATAACATTACACCATTCCTAGGTACTTAAGAACTTACTTTGTCTCGTAGTTCATATCTTGGTAAACTTATCATTGAAACATAGACTGTGTAACGCACAAATGACTTATAATCCATTAATTCATATGACGTGAAAGTACTTATTGTGTCCAAGAACATGTTTGCAGCAGTTTTGAAATCCCTAACAGCCATATTATACACGCCTTGATAAACTTTCAAACGATTTCTTCTGTCCCAATCACCTCCCTCTTCAATTAAACTAAAAATAAATTTGTTGTTTAATTATATTTTCAATAAAACAAAAATACATACGCTTTGGCTTTAGTGATATTTTTCACAATGATATCATGGTCCATAAAGAAAAGTCCCAGGCGAATTAGATGGAACACAATATCAAGACGATGTCCCAAAGAAACTGTTTTCTCATACGTTTGACGAAACGTACTAACAGCATTTTCTTTGTCTCCAATTCTGCTGTAGTACTCTGCTTTCCTCAGATATGCTTCTCGCACTTCCATTTCGCCCAAGTTTTTCTCTGCATCTTCAATAGCTTCATTTAATTTATTTAATGTTTCCTCATTCTTGGCTTTCATTTGCTTTAACAATACCGGGTCAACTTTCCAACCGACCTCTTGACAAACCAGCTCATACCACGGGGCCATATCTTTAAAATAAAGGCGTAGATTGTGTTGGTTTTGTATTGGTTTATACTTTGATGATACTTACTATCCTTTTTAATCCCATCGGTGATTTTTTGATGAACTGTTCTATCGTTTTTAAATTCTGGAAGGGTTAGTAGAAACTTGAATTGCGTCAACTCTAAGTCGGGGTTCTTTTCCAACCCTTCTTCTTCGAGATTTTCGATAGGCATTTTTAGAATTAAATTAAAAGTTACGATTTGATCAAAAATGCGCTATATAAATTTAAGAAATTGAAAATAACTAAACCAATTTCAATTTTTGTTACCAAGAAATCAACTTTTCGTTTTACTTTATTTTATCAATTTCGCACAGTCACTTTTCTATATTACTGTCAGTCATCTGCCAGCTGTCAGCATTCTATCAGTTGTCACCATAGATACTGTTGGCACATTAGCTGTCGTTAACCATAGATGACAGTACGATGTCTGTAACTACAAACACGCTAACAAAATTTTGTCAGAATATTTTTTTTTAAATGTTGCATAATGCAATTTGTTCGTTTACTATCTATGCATCCAAGTAACGCTTTCTTTTCTTATGCATGAACATTCTGTGAATACCGCCGAGGTCAACCAAGGCACCATTTTATTTCCTGTTGGCAATTTCATCGTGATTTCATCATTTTCTTTCAATTATTTATCCGCTTTCATCATGGCTTTGTTTTACATTTTGTTTAATAAATAGTATTACTGATTGGTTTCGCAGTCCCCTTTTTAATTCGAGTAAGTAGTATGTTACTTAATATGCAGTTGAAGATATACTTACGTATTATCTAAATTATAACTTAGTCAGGTTATTGTAATAAAAACTCATGATCCTCAATATTTCTCACTTTTTCGTATGATGCTCTCTACCATGGAAAGTAAATTATTTATATTATCATTAATTCTTTTACAGAAGTACAGTAACCTCCGCCACAGTATGGTGAAAGAGATGTAGTCATCTTCACTTCGAGATATAAAAGTACCTGAAGGAAGCATAGGAGTATCTTTTTGATACTGAAAATAGAGACGAGACAGTGAGCTCTAATTAAAGAAAGGATCTATGACAATAAATAGGTAATTAACACCATCAATTACAGATAATAATTGTGATAAAAAAAGAATATGTGTCAAATATTTTTTTAGCACGAGTTGTTTATTAAATGGTAAAATGTAATTTTTCCTGTCAGCATTTTCAAATTATCACAGGCATATGAGAATGATTCCATGTACCATTTTAAAATCTTGATGTTTTGCTTGCTTTTAATGTTTTAGTGATTAATTTGCTTTTTTTTCTGTTCCTATAGATTGGCTGACAAATAAGACAGAGCAGTGCAGTTGAGTTTTGTTCCTACTGAAAAATGTTCACTTTTGCTTCATTTTTCCTTAACATGGTTTGCTGTGTTTATCTTCACCTGGGAATATTATGCAGTTAATTTTAAAGCAAATAGAAATTTATTTGGATCTACTGAAACAGTGGACATTCTGCAATTAATTAAGGTGAGAATACATTACAGTTAACATTATTAATTGCTCACTTACTAATCTATTACCACCCTATATGTTTGAGCATTGGTTGTATTAGTCCTCATTTGGGAAGTACCTATACCTGGTCCTAAAGAAAGCATGAGTGCCTTTTTTCCATTGGGAACAAAGACAGCATGCTCAAAAAAGGATTTATGACAATGAACTGGTATGTACCATTATTAATTAAAAATAGTAAATGATTTCTTCAGATAACTTCAATTTCTTAGACATTTGTAACTTGCTTCGACAGACTAATTTTAACAACGTTTCAGAATGGTAATTATTTTTTTTTGCCTGTTTCTATATAGATTGGGAAGCAATTGGAAATTAATTAATTTGAAAGCGACTGGAACAACTAATTGTCTGCAGTGGTATCCCTCCTAGTTTGGTTTGCTCATCGCACTGGTAGACTTTAGAACGTCATTTTCTACAGTTAATTAAGGTGAGAATACATGACTTCATTAAAATTAAATGCTCTTTATTAATCTGTTATGAAATTTCTGTTAACAATTATCTATTGTCAACAGTATAAATTGAGGTTATTGTGCATTTATATATCTCCTCAGTTTTTATTTTCCACAGAAGAAATTGACATTTATCATTGATCTATGGAGTTTCGTTTTAACCTTTTTCTATTGTTTGCATCGTAAATTGATGTGATATTTGACGTTTATCTATGTCGTGATCTATTATCTATGGTCGTGATCTATGGTTGTGATGTAAAATGGCGTGAAACTAACGCTTGTTATTTTATAAATTCAGCTATTTTTACTTGCTTTTTGATGTGTTTTTATTTGTGTTTCTTAATTATAAGTGTAATTAATATGTTTTTTTGTCCATTTCTGCAGGTTATACAATAAATGAGAGAATTAATGTTCAGTTTGGTAATACTGAAACAGCCAATGTCTACATGGGTGTGGTCTTTCGTGGATTATATTCTTGATTCGCTGTTTCGTCTTCGCCTTGTAACATCATGCAGTTAATTTTCAACCCATGAGTGAGAGCAACTGGATATTTACTTGAATTCCACTGAAATAACAAATTCTCTGCTACAGTATTTCTCCTGGAGTTGGTTTACTTTTCACACCTGTAAACTTTGGAATGTTACGTTCTACAATTAATTACGGTGAGAATACTTGATATAATCAATTTTAATTGCTCTTTATTAATCTGTTTGCCACTGTATCTGTTTCAGATCGACGTTGGAGAAGACAAAGATGACCCCATAGTTGAAATAGTTCTTTATCTTGCATGCTCTATCTAGTAGAATTCATTAAGTTGATTTTATTCAAATTAATTTTTTATTTTGCATGGTTTTTGCAGTTCATTTTATTTGAATTAGTTTTTTATTTTGCATGCTTATTTTTGTTCATTTTATTTGAAGTAATTGTTGATTGTAGATGTTTTTATTATTTTTTTTTTATGTAGTAGTAGAAATAACACGTTTAGTAGTTGTAGTACAGTCTAACATGTCTCTTGCTTACCTCTTCGCTTAGCTTACTGCATATTCTTCCTATTTTGCTTTGCATTTACCCTACGAGTTCTACATGATTCAACGTTTCGTTATCGTGTTTGTTTCTTCTCACCCTTGTGGAATTAGGGAGGGCCTCCCCGAACGACTTCCCTTGGGCTTAGCTATTTAGTTGATCTTAAAAGTGTCTTATACACTTTTCGCGAGTCTACTCTAGCGTTACTTCCTTTCAGACAGGGTACAGTGGGTTATCTGGAATAGGAGCAATAGGCGACTGCCCAGCTTGCCTTGGCGAAATCTGTCCGATCTTCTCTACCAAAGCTATTAGTATTTGTCGTTAGTCCTTGTAATTGCACTATTCGCTTTCAGGTAACCGAAGAAGACTGAAGACATCGTATTGTTTGCTTTTTATTGTATTTTCTTTGAAATTTCATGTGTTTTCTTGTCTTTCTCTTACAGGTGTTTTGTTTTTTACTGCATAAACTGTTATATCTTTATAATCATCACTTAGGTACAAATTTAAAATGTTTCTAAATTAATTTTTTGGTATAATTGTTAAATTAAATGAATTATTTGTTTACGCTTTCAAAATTTATGTTCGTTTGGGTGGATAGGGTGGCTATAAGGGGAGATGCGGAGGCCACAGAAGGTTAGGGAGGCTTTTTTCTCCCTAATCTTGCATTTAAATAATAGTGGTATGACAGTTTATGCATAGTAATTGTATTTTCTTTGAAATTTTATTGATTTTCTTGTCTCTCTTACAGGTATTTTATTTTTAACTTTTATAAGTCGTTAGAATGTATTATATCTTAGATATTTTGTTTATATTGATGTATTGTTGTTATTTGAAATAAATTTGTACTTTGTTATAATAAATGTAAATTATTTTTTGTAAATAATAAATGTATTTTCATTGTATTATCATTCTTTACTATTTAAATAAATAAATAAATAAAGTATGTGGTTTTAATTTTGTCCTTAGTCTTGAACAACAGTAGAGTAAAATAGCATAAATACTATAAAAAGAAAGGAAATTGTGTCAATTTTTGAAAATTACCAGAGCCGTCATATGCTTAGGAGCTGAACAATTTGAAAAAAGCTGAAGTTAATCCCGCGTTTTAATTCTGAACTTGGAAAAAGATCCAATGCAACTTATGCTCTCCTAATACAAATGTTGGAATTTATGAAAATTTTCAATTTTGAGCCAAATACGAGGGTTGGTCAGAAAGTAATGGAAAAAGACCCGAAGCAACTTATGCTCTCCTAATACAAATGTTGGGATTTATGAAAATTTTCGGTTTTGAGCCAAGTACGAGGGTTGGTCAGAAAGTAATGGAAAATTCAAAGTTTTTGAAATTTTGTTCCATAACTTTTCGACCGGCCCTCGTATATGAAGAAAAACTGATAATTTTGTTAAATCTGAAAATTTGTATTAGGAGAGCATAAGTCGCATAAGGTCTTTTTCAGAGTACGCNCATTGGCTGTTTCAGTATTACCAAACTGAACATTAATTCTCTCATTTATTGTATAACCTGCAGAAATGGACAAAAAAACATATTAATTACACTTATAATTAAGAAACACAAATAAAAACACATCAAAAAGCAAGTAAAAATAGCTGAATTATCAAATAACAAGCGTTAAACATGTAAAAGTTCAGGAAGAATTGCACCACAGTAGACTTCTTTAATAGGGTCACAATAAACTCCAATGTTCTCTCTCTCTCTCTCTTGATTACCGGTCAATCTGTAGGAATACAAGAAAAACAAATTAATCACACTAACAAATAAATGAAGCATGAAAAATTTAACTAAATCATAAAAACTGAATTTATCCTTTATGGAAAAATGTGCATATTAAAATATTAAAGTAATACAGTCTTTTTCTTTGTAACACAAGTTTTCTCACCTTATTCACTGCAAAATCGTCGAAGGTAAAAACTCAACAGCGAACAAAGAAGTCCAGCAAGATCTGTTTCATAGTAGACTTTTTCATTAGAGCCAAGATGGACTCCAATGCTCTCTCCCACAATTATTGGATAAACTGTAGAAATATAAGAATAACTAATTAATTACACTGTTATATAAATTAAACATGAAAAATAATAAAAATCAGCACTGAAAAGCAAGTAAAATAGTAAATTATTAACTTAATTAAAATGGAGACTAGGCGTTACCTTGCCCAAACTCTCGAAACCAAACCGGAAACAATTATGTGCATAGATAATTATGTGCAATTATGTCAATTTATGCCAAAGAAATACATAAAAAGAACATAAATAATCGTGAAATGCAGTCACCACAGACGAGCGACATAATTTTCGACGCTTATGGGAACTTAGGATTAGTCTATGAAAGTTGGTGATAGTCAAAATTAGTCACGAAAGTAACTACAAAATAGAAAAATTACATGAAAATCTCTATTACGACGATCCGACGTTATAATTTCAACACAAAACACATTTAACAATTATTAACTGAACTGTTCTATGGAATTGCTTCAAGCAATAGATTATAAATAGAAGAAAAATGACAGATGAATCAAAGAACATTGCATATGCAACCTTACACACACTACTGATAATCCGGTTGCATGCAAATTCCTTACACAAATTACAATACACATCAACATAAAAGTAACATTGTTTTTCTACTCCTTAAGAAATGAACAAATATTGAAATAATTAGTGATAAATAAATAAAAATTTTTTTTATGATGATTTGGGACTGCAAGATTGTCGATATTGTATTAAAATTGTTAAAAATTACTGAAATATTTTTGTTGTTGTAGAGGAAAGGACGAGAGAGAAGATAGGTCGTATAAATATTATAAGAAGTTTAGATACAAATGTTTGGGAGAATGCAAAATAGAGAGAAATGAGAAACTGGAATGTTGGTAGTGGTTTCTAGTTATTAAGAAAATTTTTGTAAAAAATTGTGTAGCTTTAGTTAAATTATTAAGTAAATTTTTTTGTGTTAAATCAAAGTATAATTAGTATCTTTAATTATCATTGTTACTTGCCTTTTTGGCGGAACAAGATGTTGGGAATTTATTGCCATAAGATAAGTTCTTCTTTTCCAAAAGACACCATGTATGTTTCCAGTAGAAAAAAATCCTGCTTCCTTCACAAGCAACCATATTTTAGAGTAAAAGACTGCTACTATGACTAATGGACCATGATATATGGTGCCTAGAGTGTATTGCAATGCTCCTGTAAAATGCAAAATCATTTAATTTATTCCACGAAATATTATGTTGCTGTAGCTTTGAATGGTGTTGAATTGTGAAATTAGAGCAAATTAGGAGGTTTGGGTAAGGTTCAAGCACATTTTAAAATGGATACGAGTGGCAAGAAATACACCGAGATATATTTGGAGTAATGATCATTGGACGTAATTAGCACTGAATTCATAGTAAGAAAGATGATAGGAGAAAAACGTTAACATAACATTTTCTTTTGCATCCCCTTGAATCATGTTGTAAAATAAACAAATATATGCTGTCAAAAATTATACCTTAATAGCTATTGTTTTGTAACATTAAACTAAAGTAAATATATTATTGGTTTTTGGTCATACCTTCATGCTTTGTCATCCAATAAGTAACCAATTCAGTGCCATAAATGCCTTCTATAATAATTTGTTTTACCTTGTAATCACTGTCTTCATTTCCCAGAAAAAAAGGGTATGATGCCTAGCACTTATAATGTTGCTTTTGAAGGGTTTGTTTTATTACCAAGAATTTAGGCTGATTTGCTGGATGCCTTGAAAAACAATATTACATTACTATTTCAAATTCAACAATACTTTAACATGCTTAATCTGTACATTTAGAATTAAGCCCACACTTATATATTGATATAAATTAACCTAAAAATTTACAATTAATTTTCTATAATAATGTATATTAAATATGCAACATTAGAAACATTTTGTTAAGTTTACCTTTTTTCTAATATTAATCCAACTTCGTTAAAACATCCACTTCTGAACGTAAGGATGGTGGACGGTGGTGAACGTTGGGTATCATTCCTCATCTATGAGATTGCGAGTGTGTAAACATTACATGTGCTTGATAATGAGACATCGCAGCTAGAAAATTGCAATAAATTATTACCTTATGAGAAGCTCGTAAAGAAATGATAGGGAAAAATTGTTTGAATACCTAAACAGGTTGATAATAAACGTTTTCTTTTTCTTCGCCATGACGGAAATCATAGATGTAGATTAGAGAAATAAATAGTATTATCATTGAGGTGGAGGCGAACTATAGACTAGTTCAATGAGTATTATACAACTCTAATCTATGATGGAAATCATAGAAATCGATAGAAAAAGAAGTAATATCTAAATCCCAAACTTTTACAAGTAAAAATCACTATACTAAATAAAAGTAACTACTGTTTCTATAAATAAGTGATATGCAACTCAATATACACCGCAAAAATCCACGTTGCATATATACCTAAAAATTGTACATACGGATAGGGCTTTTAAACTTTTTACTTTTAAATCATAGGTTTCAACTTTTCTAGATGTAGCTTATGTAAATATGTACGTAGAATTCAGTGGTGATAACAGTTTCTGAGTGCGGTTTGAAATGAGAATGATACAAATTGCTGGTGTAAGTTCTTTTCGTGTACATTTGCAAATAAAGAATACATTTGTTAATTAAAATGCAGACCCCCTGCGAAAAAATAACTTTTGTCGTGAATGTTTAGTTGTAAGGAATGTAACATTATGGTATGGTTACTTAATTAAAGTAGAATTCCTAATATATTTATGAAAGAAGTACATATTACAAATTTACGAACTTAATTTAATTACAGTTTCATATATGTGGTACGCACTTACGTATTATTATATAAATTAATTTGCAAATGAATAAGTAACAAAAAGAATCTATTTTTTACACTTGGTGTTTCATTACAGTGTGTTGAGAACCTTTTCAATTACAAATCCTACTATAATCACAAAATTTATACATCATATATTAAAAAATAGTAATTATTATTAAAGAAAAACAAAATGACTAATTGCATATATTGTTATTACGTAATTAGATAAATAATATCACAGAATTTAAATTTACACATTGAATATGAGTACGAATACGTACAACATGCTTAAAAGTAGCACGGTGTCTCTACCTAGTAAAAGTAAATATGTATAAAAGTGTTGCTAGAACGACAATTTCTTTAGTTTAAGGACTACATAATTATAAGGCGATATTATCATTATCTTTTACTATTAGCTACATATTTATGTAAAAAGTGAGATATTTTAATTAGAGATAAATTTAGCTTTCAAAGGCAGTTTTGGGGAATCTAATAAATTGTATTGTATATAAAATTCAGTCTTTAAGCAACAATTCGTCAAGTATTATTTTGTGTATTACTCATTTTTGGCCAGTTGATAAATATCTTAACAGGGGAAAGCACCATCAAGGACAAATTTTATTATTAATGTGTTATTTCTCTTTTTTTTTACAACTACTAAGCACTGAAGATGAATAGTTGTTGCCTGCTTTCAAAACATATGCATATTCCTTCGTAGATTATATACCTTTTTACTGGTCCTGACTGATATACTAAGCCAATTAAAACAATTGCTTAATCTAGCTCTAAAATTTGAGCAGGGTATAACGATGGGGTCACAAATCATATTAAAACGTTAATACTTTAAAAAATTAAAGTAATCAATAGTGAGAAACTTAAAATAAAATTGTTAAAAATTACTGAAATATTTTTGTTGTTGTAGAGGAAAGGACGAGAGAGAAGATAGGTCGTATAAATATTATAAGAAGTTTAGATACAAATGTTTGGGAGAATGCAAAATAGAGAGAAATGAGAAACTGGAATGTTGGTAGTGGTTTCTAGTTATTAAGAAAATTTTTGTAAAAAATTGTGTAGNGAAAAGTGCTATTTTTAAAATAATAGGATGAAAATTAACTATTAATAATTACACATGTAAATTTTGAGAATGATGCCTATCGTTACAAAGACGGTGTTGACGGTAGACCTGCTACTACCACTTCCTGTATCAATGCGAGTGTAGGGTTCTTTGCTTCCCGCCATGGGACCCTCCAGATTACGAGAACATCCCATCCAAAACGGCGCCGACAGGGTTTGTTCTTCATTTTCCACTCTCATTCGAAGGTCGTTAAATTTCCAGAAACCCTTTCCTTTGAAGAAATACGTCTTTCCTGAAAGAAACAAACAATGAACCAAACAAAACGGAATTATTACTGTATAATTCAATAAACGTATCTATTCTTAAGTAATTTTAAAAGAAATGAAATAAATTGGAAAAGAAAAAAATCCTATAGGCTTTACTCTAAGGTTTGAAAAAATACAGTACCACCAACAGTTGCTGACTGAAGTGTTAAATACTATTTTTGAGTCAGATAGTTTTTTAAAAGAAAACAACCCCCTTACTGTTTCAATAAAAAATAAATCAGTTGAAAAAGTAATATCATTGTAATGTCGTTATCATAGGGGTTAAAGCGCCCACATTACACAAATTGGAACATTGCAAAGAGTTGTTAAAATAAATGGTTATATACTACTTTAAAGTTAGACTCCTATTTAATTCAAGACAAACCCCCTAGCGTGTGTAAAAGAAAATATAAATCGAGAAACTAATAATGTTGAAGCCCCTTTGTTACAAGGGTGAAAGCGTTCATATTAAAATAGTTGAAGAGATAAAATACCACAATAAGTTATTGAACTAAACTGTTAAATTCTATTTTTGAGCCAGATTGTTGTTTGATTCAAAACATTAAAAAATTAAATCAGTTGAAAAATTAGTAGTGTTGCACTGTCTTTAGTATAAGGACTAAGGGCCCACATTAGAAAAACTGAAGGAATGAAAGATTATAAAAAGTTGCTGAACTAAATGGTTAAACACAATTTTTGAGTTGAATTGTTGTTTAATTCAAAACAACTCCCTTAGCGTCCATATTACACGTTGAGGAAAAAACAATGAAACATTGTAATCCTTAAGGGTTGAATGTCATATTTTATTTATTTACCATCCTTCCACTGAAACACAGCATCAATGTCAGTCCCGACACCTCTCCACATTGACATGTCCCTTGGGTAATCCAACTCGACTGTCATCAGGTCTTCGTCAAACCTGCAAAAAACAACAATATCAAACATTTAATTCCATTTTTATTTTCGATACAACTGTATCTTGTACTGTAAAATTACCTCCAGTACATGTTGCCGCTGTAAAAGTAAGTTTTTCCATTGTGTCCCCACACCATGGCTCCATCGATTTTCGATATCGATTCTGGAAGCCCGAGGGCAGTCAGTGGCTTAGGGTATCCCCGTTCCAAATTATTGCCCGAATATAAATAAAATTGTTTACCGATGAAAAAGGAGATTTTATTATCGGGCCTCTCGTAGACGGCATCCAAGTGGGTGAAGTTCTTCGGGAGGCCCCTCCACAGCCTGCTAATCTCGGCAGGATATCCGGGCAACAAACCGGAATCGCTTATTCTCCAAAACCACTGTAAACAACGACAACACAAATTATCAGTCACAATTTTATTTCATTGTAAAAACGTTAGAATACATAATAATATTCTCGCAAATACGCAATTAAAATAAGTACGAAAAAAAATGGAAGATTCCCTTACCTTATCCTTGAAAATAAAAACTTCCCTCCTTATTACAGAAATCGCGTCATATGAGGTGTCGCAGGTGTTAGGGGGAGCTTGTTCTTTCGGGTGGTTGTTCTTTGGATTTTCATCTCCATATGGTGGCGTTTTATCACTGGGATTTTCCGAAGGGTATCTATTAGGGTAATCTTCCTTGGGATTATTTCTGGGCGGTGGCGGTGGCTCCCTGTCTTTTCTGGGATTGTCTAGAGGATGATGATGACCCCTGTCGGGCCCGTAAGGTTTATTGTGAAACTTGGGATTGTAATGCTTCCTGTCAGGATGCATCGGTTTTCGGGGGTAGTGATTTTTATTGGGGTATCGAGGCTTTTCTGGGTATCTGGGCTTCTGCGGGTAGGTATTGGGAGTGTAAGGATAATTGGGGTAGCTTGGGTAAGGATTTAGTGGTTGTGTGGGGCGAGCCGTTGTTGTTGTGGTGGTGGTGGTGGTGGTAGTTGTTGTAGTTGGGGGCGGTGGTTGCCATCTTGGTTTGTGCTCATATAAACGATCTTCGTGAACCCCTGCAACAAATCAATAAGCATTTTCAGGGGCGAATAATTTGCAAGTTCATAAATCCAATTTTATTTGAATTGGAGTGTACAATAGGTACTTAATTATATATTTTTTTGTCGCAAGGGATAAGAATTTTGGCGTTTCTTTGCGAAATTAATTTGAAGTTTCGCCGAATTTGTGGAGTTAATTTCAATTAAGAGACCGAAAAAAGTTAATTAATAAACAGTAGAAGGGAGTATAAGTAATTGACAAACTTTTAACAACACCAACTGTCGTGGCTATGTCCAAAAGTTATTATTTGATATGAAATTGTTCCATTCGTTAGTAAATTGCTTTATTTATTTATAAAAATTTAGGGCGAGAGCAAAGAGAGGGTTGTCCGTTATGTTTCACTCATATAGACATATGCACAGTATGTATTTTTTTACTGATACTTATTGTTCTGTATTAAAATTAGATCATGACACAAGAGTTAAAAAAAATTAGAAAACCTACCATAGAGTGATTGGATTCCAAGTCGATCGTCTTCAGGTAATTCGTAGTCGAAACCGTTTTGCATCCCTTGATACCAAGGATACATAAGGGCTCCCTCAACAGACGAATGGGACAAACCCAACGAATGGCCGAATTCATGGGCAGCTACGTGAAACAAACTTGTTCCTAAAACGAAAAAAAAAAAAAAAACAAATTAATAAATACAAAAATGCGACGTGATTTTTCCAAAAACCACTCCGATGAGTAGTAATGGATTTCCGCCCTTGCGTCTTCCGCCCTTTTCAAACATTTAATATTTAATGCAGCAAGTAAACAGTGTACATAATATTGTATATAAAATATTAAATATAAGGGCAGATGTTCGTTCAATATTACGAGTACGAACAAATTACCAAATAATGGCATTTCTAAAACCTTTTTCCTTTTTAAGAGTAAAGTTAAAGTAAATTTTGGTAGTGTATGGTTATTTTACATCCTCCTTTTTTAGGGGTGAGTGATACTTTAAAACACATATTTGTGAAGGCAAAAAATCACTTGACAGACAGCAAAGGGAGCCAAATATTTCTTCATATTTTTAAGATAAACGATGTGACCTTTGTCAGAATGAACCCTTAAAGAAAATTAGAAAGTATTTCTGGAGACGAAAATTATTACATTCTTAAATAAAATCCTTGTCGAATGTTTCAACAAATTATTTATTCAATCTCGACGAATGTTTAGGCCACACTTATTAAGCAGTTGCGAGACTAAATAAATAATTTATGGAAACATTCTTTCTGGGCTTTCGTTATAAAAAAAGTTTAATCGAAAATACACCCACGAAAGTCCTATTTCTTTCTTACCTAAAATGCAGTGGTAAGCTAGTAATATACTTCCTAAACAATTCTTCATTTTGGGACACATAAACTAATCCTTGTCGCAAATTTTTAACGTTCGAATTAATTCACTCATCAAGTCATCAAACGCGTTATATACGTGTAATAAGTCTTAGCTGGTCTTCAACAAAAATAAATTTTATCATTGAACATTATGTCAATATTTGCAAAGAAACTGAGTTCGATTATTTCTGTCTTCACGTCATCGTAAATAGGTACTACAAATGTGCCCAACAACTTGTTAAACAAAGAGAAGCGACAAAGTTGATGTATTTTAATGTTCGGCTAATTTTATATATAAACCAAGTCGCGAGAGGATCTAATTTTATCTCTTATGTACACAAAGGTATTTAATATACACAACACATATGTATAATGTATGTAATTAAAAAATGTGAATTACCTCGTTTTTGTAAACTTAATTTTCCGCATGTCTAGCCGGCAATGTTGTTTAAAAATAACACAAGGATATAAATATTTTAAATGTGTAACTTTATCGTGAAAATAAGGGTAACTTCTTATGTCCGAAGTTTTTTAAATGAGTTTGACTTAAGCACTGAGTATCAATTACGACTGCGTTAATATAAATTATGAAAAAGAAAGGTCCCAATATTCTACCTTGTGAGACACCAGTGTCAATACAATGTTAGACAACGGAAACTCATTTATGAGACTATATATCATCTGTACTATGTATATTATGTATATGGGATGGTTTTAAAAACGTCATTATAGAATCCTGGATTTTATATTATTTTATTGTAAGGAATAAAATATCAAGGATTCTATTAATGACGATTTTGAAAGCACACGGAACTGCTTCGATCCTTTTAGAACACATTAAAATTTTTATAAGTATTTTTTACCTTCTTCATTATTATCATCTTCCCTCGTTAACCAAATTTCGTCTTCATCAAAATGAACATCCCCACCACGACCGGTCCCAGGAAAAAAAGCATGCGCCAAAATTTGTCCTTTTCCGTCAAAGGCAAAATTGTCGCCATGTTTTCCTCTGCAAATTACCAAGTAATGTAAGATCATTTATTAATTAATCAGCTGCAGCATCGTGGAATTTTCGATAAATTACGTTACGTCTCATCCCAAAGCTGCATTTTATTGTAAAGGTCGATTTCCCTTACTTTTTCTTTAGTAATTATTGACACAAGCAAGAGAGCGGGCATGAAATGTTAAAATATTTATTATATTTTAGTGAAATGCTACGGAGTTCCGGTACGGGAACTAAAAGAAAAACAAGCAAAATCAGCCAAAATAAACGGAAGGCTGATTCGTGTGTGTGTCTATTCAGGAGTACTACCCTATCTCCCTATCTGCACATGCTTCGTATCTTTTGCTGCCTAATCAACTCTATACAAGACGCGATGGAAGTAAAGCAGATGGAACGGAGTCGGTACAGATGTTGCCTGCAGTCGTCTTTGCTGAAGTGAACATTGGCCAAATTGAGGGAATAGCAAAAGATAAATGAAATAAGAAAGGGAAAAAATCAAGAGACAGTGTAAATTGAACATGTAGAGTGACATTTCGAGGTGCACGAGGGAGTTGTCTATATCTATCAACGGGATGGATCTGCTTGCTTTCAAGCGTTGAATAATTTAAAGCAACACCGAAAGAAACTCTAAAAACAAGAAGTTGTAGTTGTTAAACGTTTATAGTGAATTATAATGCTCGTATTAGATGGTTAAAAGAATGAATTAATATAATCTTCTATATAAACAAAAGGTATTATACCAGTAGAATGAGTTTATGTAATATCCAAATAGAAGCAGCGTATCGCCATCTGACGGGTATTTGTTGCTACTGAAGTATTTCAGAAATTAGAGGCCTTATCTGAACATGATCGACGGTGAAGTTTACAGACGCTCGTCGTGATAGGCCCTTTAAATGCAGCAAATGCACTAGGTGGTGATTATTGCTTCTATTTCGATGTTACATAAACTTGATACTTGAAAGTTGATACTTAGGTTGCAGAGAAGTATAAATATAATGTTCGTAGAATTCACATGCTCTGGGACAATTTCGACATTAGATGGTTAAAACAATGAATTAATATAAATATCTATTTAAACAAAAGGTATTATACCAGAAGAATGAGTTTATGTAATATCCAAATAGAAGCAGCATATCGCCATCTGACGGGTATTTGCTGCTACTGAAGTATTTCAGAAATTAGAGGCCTTATCTGAACATGATCGACGGTGAAGTTTACAGACGCTCGTAGTGATAGGAAATGCTCACCAGGTGGTGATAACTGCTTCTATTTCGATGTTAGAAGGTCAGTAACTTGAAGCGGACCTAATCAGAACGGTTTTAGGTAGAGAATTTAGTTGGTTGGTTCTCCCAAGGGGAAATCCAACGCCACCCAGTCGTCGGACGGCTGGGTGCCTTATAAAAGTTTCCCTTATGCACAAAAACAGTAAAAAGTAATTTATCGAAATCGCCTATGGCGTGCTGATCAGATCTAAACATTACATAAAAAGTTTGTAATTATTATAACAAGTAATGTTGGTTCTCAACGGGAGAGACTTACTGAACAAATTTTGTTATAAACAATGTTCAATTAAGTTTCTTTTGTAAAGAAAGCAATAAAAAAATAGTAAAACTGCAAAAATTATTTCGCATTGACGATTGTAGTCCACGTAATACACTTTTTTACTTAATACGCAAAAAACAATCTAATTTCTGTAATGATTTTTAAACTGTTATCACTAAAGCAGGAAGCTGACTGATACTGTAGCACCTACGTATAATTTGTAAAGTTGAATGGGACACAAATATAATTGTTACGAATGTGAATAATCACACAGTAAAAATTAAATGTATATTGCTAATCAGTTACTGGTTGGATCTGTTCAAACAAATGACGTAATCTTGAATAATTGTTTCTAAAAAATCTAAACTAGGTACTTATAGTTTATTATCAAACATTTGTATAAGAAATAGAAACATAAAAAAATTGAATCAGAAAACACTTTTTTCTGTGCTTACCTGTGAAAATACACGAGTATATCGGCCCTGTCACTATCGACTTCTGTGAAAGTGAGTTTTGAATGTCGAGCCCACACATTTAAGGCCTTTGACAACACGTACCTCACTTCGTAAGGATTCAGTTGAAAAAGATTCGTTGTCCTTAGACTGAAACGAAAGAAAAAAGGTTCAGTTATTCCAGTCGTTACAACTACATAATAATTATTATTATTAATATCGCATGTGGTCGATAATCGACCAATTTATTTTAATTAAAATAAGAGAAGAAAAGAAAGGTGTTGTATCAGGTGTTTTCTACTGGTACTAATTATTTATTATAAATCACTTTTAATTAAATTTTACCTGCCTTAACGTCATCGTACGCGAATTATTCTTGCTTTAAAATTCATCGTTACCCCAAGAAGAAAACCTATGTATATAGTACCTATTGCAATTAATTGATGTAAATAATTTTGTTGTTCGTGCAACGTTAATTACCGATATATACTTACTTGCATGTGATTTGCAAAATCCCGTACTGAATTAATCGACCGGTTAATAGCCAGATGCTCTGGGGGATTAATGATGATGAAATAGATTGAAATTAACGATCTTGATGAATTAAATTTGCTTCTCGTAACGATTAATTTGACGACGAATCGAATAAGTTAAGTTGGTATCGTAAACTTCGGAATCGTATCGTACCTACGTGGCATACATTTACGAAAATGTATTCAACTGGCTGTTGTAATCGCTTACAATATTTACATTTATACCTTATGGAACAATTCTCGTTAAAATTTATTTTTATACGGTAGTAATCCCATAAAAATCTAGTTCATTACTACAGGCTCTCGCTGGAGTGGCACAACTTTTAAAAGTTCATTTACAGTAGTTTTCTTTGATGAGTCTATATTCAAAGACAGTCACTCGTATTGTTCACATTATATTGTGACATTATGTCTTCTTACGACTTATGATTAGACCTAATTATAAATTATAACATGAAAACGACAAGAGGTCATCGACTTCCAACAAATTGCCGAGTGCCACACGACGGTACAATAACCGACAATTTGATGTAAGTACTTTCTTTACGAACGAACTTGAGTACAAAATAATTCGAAGTGGTCTGTATTCTGTCGAAACTGCTGGACGCGGATCGCGATTTCGATCTTTTTGGATCTCATCAGCGCGGCAGCTCCGACAGAACACAGATCAACTGGAGCATACGTAATCCTAAAATGTAGCATCGTACTACAGATGGCGCTCACCACGCCATTTGTAGTATTTTCTAAAACGCACTGTTAAGACAGCAGGTAAAAGTTGGTCTGTGTTCTGTCGGAGCTGCCTGCGACGCGCTGATGAGATTCAAAAAGATCGAAACCGCGATCCGCGTCTGGCAGTTTCGACAGAATACAGACCACTTCGAATTATTTTTTTAGAATTTAAGAAGTTGAAATTAAATAACATTCCTGATCATTAAACCAATGTTGGTTCTGATCGAACTTACAAAAAATGTAATTGTGTAAATGTGCACATCAAGGAGTTCTTTTAAGGACCTCATTCTTTTAAACAAAAAAGAGCATGACCGTGACAACACTATGTCGACCGTGTTGTCTTTTCCTACCATAACCTTATAAGCCTAACCTTTAACCGAAGGATGCTTAAGGTATCATAAGGTTACAACAAGAAAAGACAACTCGAACATATTGTAGCCCCAAGGAAGACTAATAATTGAGTGCGAAACGTTAGTTATGGTTTCACGTAAATAAAAAAAAATGTAGCATAATTTTTTTACATTAAACACGTGTCGTATCTTTTTTAGTGTACAGGAACGTAGACCTTAAAAAATCTATTTGATTTTAAACACCTTGCCAAGAAAATAATAAAGCAAATGTCTGCCTATTACACCAGAATCCGCCTATAATGACATCGAAGGAAATGACAAACACGTCATACTAAGCGGGCATCATCCATTGCATAGTCTTAGAAAATGAACAACTTTCTATTTTGGTTAGTTATTTAGTTTAATAGAGAGAAAATCTACAAATTCTATATATTTATTAACAGAAAAAGAAAAAGAACGATGAATTGTAATACCAATATACACAAGAAGTCAGAAAAATGAGCGAAAAGGTTATTATTAATCATTTGGGTCACTATAACCGGGTATGATTTCTTGAGAATCAGTCATAATAAACGNTTCAGCAAGTAGATATCCACACAAGTGGACCTTGTTGGAGCATACGTAATCCTAAAATGTAGCATCGTGCTACAGATGGCGTTTACTGCGGCATTTGTAGTATTTTCTAGAACTTGAGTACGTTTATAAGTAGGTAGGTAAATTGCAACCCAAATCCTTATCACTTACAAAAGGACCTTATGTACCTATACCACCCCTACTGTTTTTTTTTATTTCTTTCAATTTTCTTTCGTCGTGGAAACGTTGATGGTGCCCACCTGGTCGCTCACTCAAGGAGGTTGTGACGATAATATATTCACATCACACCCGGGTTGAGTGAGTCACCGGGGTGGACATATTTTCATCCCTTTTCCTCTTCAATCTTCTGCTTTATTACCTGATTTTCGTTGCTTCCGTCAAAAACGGACTATCGTTTTCAATCAGTACGACGTGGGACCTGGGGCATTCCCTGGTCAGTTAGGGTCAGTAATAAGCAAGAGTCGACATCTATCGGTAAACTAATTTCATTAATTTTTTTTGTTAAACCCTTCGAAAAGCTGGTCAGAGCCTGATCTAATGATTAAATTCACTGGACAAAAAAAACGCACCACTCGATTTTATTTATAAAAACCTGAATTGGTTTTCTTTTAACGCATCGATATTGATGACAAAATGGGCCCTGGGCCCCACCACTAACGCTGGTGATTTTTTTAAAAGTACGTATGTACTGTTTACAACAGCAGCAAACTAACTCTAAAATCTTTAATGAAGCACCAAATTTGCTTCGTTAGCAATGTACCGACTACATATGGACAGCGTTTTCCCACAAAAACAATTACTTCGTCATTAAGGGTTATTAGAGGTTTGCGGATTCGATTCTGATAGCTGATGTAAGAGACCTCGATGGTAGGGTTTCTGCTGTTACATAATACGTACGTATGTATATGCATAGACAGAGGGTATATCGCCGGGACCGATAATAATTATTGCCAAGTCCCCTGCGATTCAAGATTTGATACGATCGACATGTTTTGCATGAACTATAAATTGTATCGTCGAAAATTAACCGATAATATAGTTCGGAATCGTAAATAAATTAGGATTTCGCCCGAGCAGATACAATGGCGTCCAGTGGAGGTGGACGACATGACAACACCGACTTAAAAGCTCCTAAATTGGCACTTTTAAGACATACAAATCAGGGGCGTACTTAGGACGCTAAGCTATAAAGAGTAACATTCGGTTTTTGCTAACTTCTTCAAAATAGAAAATTATACTTCATTTACTTTCTCTAGCGATGTGCTCCTTCCAATATATTGGATGCGCGCTGGCAAAATCATAGGTACGGATAAAAAAGCTCATTATACTCTCGACTCTTGTTCATTAAACATACTTTTTCATACAGTACCTGCCAAAAGTTTTGTTCAATCATGAATAGTAGTGCGAGTCGAAAACAAGCGTTAAAGCCTTTAATATGTCTTCAAATATAAATAAACATCTCGTTGATATTTTGAGTAGTAAATGGTACCAATAACAACACATTTGAGCAATGCAATTGCAGTGGATTAAATGGTCAATTTTTCCGTCCAGTACTGTACGGATTATACGCTCCTCACCGGGTTAAGAGTTCGACCGAGAGTTGTCTCCTTCCTTTTCTGGCCTAGTGCTGTTCTTTTCTACTTTGCGCCGGTCAAACTGAAGGTCACATCGCTACAGAAAGTAAACGAACTTTATTACCTTAATTCTACCTACTAGTTTATACATAACGGAGTACATAATATAAAAAAAAGTATACAAGGATTTGACTAACAAAAGTTTTACGAATCGAACATTTTACTAGTACTAAAATTGTACCGTCTTTTTGAGTAGAAACCTTAATTTTGTTACCTCAAATTCAGCCCAATTGTGAAAGCCCTGGTACAATTTGTAAAGTGATCCTCGAGTCATTGTGTCTTTTTATCGTTGATGATGACATCATTATTGAAACATAGCTTACAGCTATCCGGAAGTAACATTCTAGATAGAGAAGAAAACCGCTTCAAGATCCTTTTAGTGGTTTTCGAGACAAACAGACAGATAGTAAAATGCCTTCCGGCGACATTTATTTAAAATGTTGAAGAAGATAACATAAATAATCAACTAGTATCTAACGTAACTACGACCAGCCATTGCCTAAATACAGCGCTGTAATATAATAGCAGAGCTTTGTGAACGATTCAACCCGACAAACCATTACAACTACAAGCGATACGAGGTTATAATGAATCCTATTAAGTGATATGAGCATAATTGGGTAGACAATGGATCACAATTATACCCCCGGACTTCTGTTAACCATTGCTTTATTCCGTCATTTATGTGCATCATGATGTCTAGGCCCCTATACTATATCTGAATGTAACAGACCGTTTCAACTGACCGAACATATATCCGAAATGAAGTAGAAATGTCATATCTATTAATTCCTCCTTCGTCAAAAACGCAGCTACATGCATCAGGGCAACAAAGGGTAAACAGTCGAATGTTCAAGTAGACGAGATGTCCTAATTATGAGAACTAACAAAAAGTTAAATTGACTAAGGACTCACCACTCAATTTTTAGCGTACCTTATTATATATAATTACATATTAATACTCAATTAATCCAAATTATAGTCCTTAAACTATTTTTAATGGATAACAGTACCATCTTTCAGCGACAAATTACATATCTTACAGTATTTTTCTATCCATTTCTATTGTGAGAGACACTATATATAGAGCTATCTTGATAACTTTCCAAACGTTCAGCTGAAGGATCGATTGGCAACAAAATGGATAATAGTACCATCCTTCAGCGACAAATTATATACCTTGCAGTATTTCACTACGTCATTGCTATTCTGAGATACGCTATGTACCTATAGAGCCACATTGGCAGCTTTCCAATCGTTTTCGCTGGACAGCCGGCGACAAAATGGATAACAGTACCATAATTCAGCGACAAATTATAGCCCTTACAGTACTTTTCTACTCCATTTCTATTCTGAAATACGTGTGTATGTATGGAGCCACCTTGGCAGCTCTGCAATCGTTTTCGCTGGACAACTGAAGGTTAGACCGGCGACAAAATGGATAATAGTACCATGTTCCCGCGACAAATTATAGTCTTTGCAGCATTTTTCTACCCCACTTCTATTCTGAGGTACGCTAT